CGGGACTTATAAAAAATAGTGGATTGACTGTTTATGAACTGTGGGAGACAGATCACCTGGTAATTTGGGTTTTGGAGCAGGGATATAGGCTAGATGCCCAGCCTTGTCTTTTGAGTTGAGATCATCTCCCCACAGGTTATAGAAACGTGGCTCTTCTTTTGGCTTGTCTAACTTAATTAATCCCTCCCGAATAGCCCTAACATACTTTGCAACCTGCATATGTTTGGTGCCCAACATGAGCCATGTTCACATGATAACAATGATAATCCAATGCAAAATGCAATGAATATTTCAGTATCCATTGGTCATAAGGTGAATTGCGAAGTAGAAAGAATATAGGCAGGTTATTGAGTGCTTCAGTTTCCCACCGCGGTGGTATATATTTGTGGCTTCCCCAGTATAGAAAAAAGACACTTAAATTGAACAGTCAACAACATATTAAGAGAAAAAAAGAAAGCAATAGTGCATTTGATAATAGAAACTTGAGTATCTGAAACTGATGTCAGCTATTAGGAATAGTAAGCAGCAATTGATAAGCATAGTTCGAAGCCAACCGCAACAAGAATAGAAGCTATCAGAATCAAGACCCCAGTAAAGGATCTTAAATGCATTTAAGAAACCAAAAGTAAAAAAGCTGCATCATTGTTACGAGCTCAGCCAGAAAGGTAGAGGAATGAGAATCAAAAGAATACTGACTACTTCCCATATGTCATGTAAATAGGGAAATGCTGAAAAGACTGACCCTTTTGGCCTCCCATTTTGAAGGAATGAAACGTCTCTTTGGTTCTGGGGCATTTGATAATGGGTGTTTTGCATCATCCCATTTGAAAAAGTCAACATAATCCTGCATTTTAGAAAGAAAAAAGTCACATTGAAGCCCCTTCAATAAGTAAAACTAGGTTTATAGCACAGTGATGACAAGTGGCACAAACCGGATATGGATCAAATCCAGCATGCGGTGCTTTTCCTTTGAGCAGTCTACGAATAAGTCTTGTTTCATCTTTGGTCAGCTCCACTACCTCATCATTGTACTCATCATTAATCTTGCGCCTGAATAGAAAATCAAATAAAAAACACATAAAATTCTATCTAAAACCAATTTATAAAAGTAACGTATAAGAGCAAACATTTTTAACTTTCTTTAAATAAATTCTAAGGAAGCTCTCAACTCAGATTAAACTGATTGGATAGAGGCAACTGGCAATGCAGAAAAGCTGACGAATCAAGCCTCAAAAATAATAAGACAATCAGGGAAAGCAATCTTATGTGAGTTGCACTCTATAAAGCAAAAGCATCTGATGATAACAAATATTAATCTGTTGGCTTTTTTCCAAAATTTAAGACTAAACAAAGTAACCAATGGAAAATTTTAAAATTTTCTCACTAAACATTAAAAGAAAAGGGATGAGAAAGGGGATCAAAATACTGGACGTTGCAAAAAACAAATAGTCAACTAGGACTAATGTCAAAGTGAGAACAACAACGCCCCATCTCCTTGATCAGTGTATAGGGACTCCATACTCTGTTAAATTGCTGAATTGACGGAAGTGACAGAAATAACAAATATGACCACAAGTTTGAGGCATATGGTACTTTCATTATTTTCCTATGAGGATCTCAATAGAGAGAAACCATTGAAAGGAAAGTTGAACTCACCAATTTTTTGAGTCATCAGCACTGGCAAGAAAAGCATCCAATTTATCTTGTCTTTCTTTCTTTTTTATCTTTTTCCCCTTTACATTGTAACCAATATGTTCCTCATCCTTATACCACTCAAGAGGAACATCACCAATCGTGTTCCGTGAAGGAACCTGTAAATTACGCGAGTGCCAATCAATTATAGGTGAGCATTGTACAATTCTAAATATGCTCAAAGCTGTCCAGAGAAGTAAGCAGACCTCATCTTCAGATGAATCACTCTCTTCAGCTCTTTGATCTGATTCAGAGATTTCACTTCCACTATCATCAATTCGGGCACGATCATTACTCGATTCGCCTTTATTGCTTGTTTTAACAGAGCCCTGCCATTAATGCCCAGCAACAGCATTACAATATGAACAAGTTCATCATAGCAGAACAGACAGAACAAAGACCTTCTTCTCTGTTTCACAACCAAAGGACAAGAAATGACATTACAAGTTCTAACCAAAACTCTAGTATTGCATTCAATTGACTCAAGAGTTTCGTCTATTATGGAACTCTACTCGAGCTTCAAAGGTGAAGTTGACTCAGAGTTTCGTCTTAGTAGTCCTTCTATGCCTCAGAACAAATACTAGATGTGCGAATAAGTTTGCTCGTCTCACTAAGAAGCATGGAATAAATCACAAATCAAAGAAGGCAATTACCATGTACCTTGTGCTCTTGTGAATCACTTTCTCCGGATTCCGACTCCTCCGACAGCTTAAATTCCTCGGAATTTCCATCTTCGGATTCATCCTATATTCACAACACCAGAAAAACGTGATGAAGCCTCCCCTGGGGGGACATAACATGCTGGTACGCAAGCAAGCACGCACAAACTGGAGCTGCACTAGAACAAAGGAGCATGCAACAGATACCTGATCAGAACTGGAACCAGTAGCGCCCTCTTCTCCGGACTCCAAGTCCTCTTCCGACAGCTCGTAATCTTCGGAATCCCCATCGTCGGAGTAATCCTACGACAGACAGACAGACCAACGCATCAATCTCGACGCACGCGAATCGACAGAGGCAAGACCGACGGAGGAACGCAAGAGCAAAAAACCAAAGGGAAAAAACCTCGTAATCGGAGCCGGAATCAACGGGCGAGCCTCCGCCGTCTAAAACCTCCGGCACGGACCGAGCTCGCGGTGCTTCTTCCTCCACTCTCTCCTCCTTCTCCTCCTCCTCCTTCTTCATCTTGTCTTTCTTACCGACCGCTCCCATCGCTGCTTCCTGAGGACAAGTGGCGCAAGCTTTGGGTGGAAGAGGCGAAGGTACAAAGAGGCTGCCGCTGCCGCTGCCGCCGCCGCCGCCGCCGCCGCCGCCGCCGACGACTGTGGAAGCAGGGGAGGAGGGGCTTAGCAGCAAGCAGCACTAGGGTTTAAGCCGGCGGAGGAACGAGGAGAAAGCGGCTCTGCGTCCGCGCCTAATACCGTTTTTGCATTGGCATTTAAATAAAACGGAAAGAAAAGGAAAATAAAAACCATAAAACATTAAAAAAAAATTGTGATTTAGGACTATTACTGCAGCCAAATGCCAAAAAAAAATTGCATTATTTTTCTTTTTTAACGCCCGGAAATTACATCATGATCTCTCGATCCCCTAACGACAAAGGAAATAAACATCTAGGTGGCCTATCTAATGCAAAACAACTACATGCATTCATGGGCTGAAGGAAAAATGCATGAATTTATATCGGACAAAAATGTCGTCTCTTTAAATGGCCCAAAAGAACGCATGGATTTTCACGACAACAAAAATACACATTATTGAGTTTTCTAACCATGCAAATTGGAAGTTGCTCAAATCGTCGATTGTTTGGTCCAATGCATAATGTGGTCCTTGAACTTTTAATTTGTGCAATGTGATCTTTGAAATTTGGTGAAATGTGCAATATCATTCATAGACTTTTAATTTGTCAAATATAATCCCTAGACTATATAAAAATATTTAAAATTGTAAAGACCACATTAAACAAATTAAAAGTTCATGGACGACATTACATGTTAAAACCAAACTTTAGGAACCATTCGAGTCATTTTCCCTTTAGAATACTAATTTTTTATTCGATTTTCAGGCAACTTGAATTTCTTTCTATTTTCCGGTAGAAGCATAACTGGCCTCGATTAAAAAAACTTAAAAACAACGCCGTCGTGGAAAACGACACCAGCTCACTTTGTCAATATGTCTGTTATGATATGTTGGTGCCGCTGGCCATGTCGAATCTCACTTCAACTTGAATGAATGCAAAATTCGAATGCAGTTATTTGTTCTTGCTCAACTCCGATTGTTTGGCGGAAAATGAATAATTTAAAAAATATTTTCCAAAAAGTGATTACTTGTATTGCTTACAAAAATGAACTAACCAAAAATATTTTCATCATTCATCAAAATGTTTAAACATAAATTACTGTCGATAATGAAAGCAATTTTTCATTATTAATTATTTTAAATAATACAAGCAATCATTTTTCAAATCATTCAATTTTTCGCGAAATAAAATCGAATATAAAATCAATATAGTTTTCGAGAGAAATGGTTAATTTTTTATCCAGTAGGATCATGCGGCCTATTACCACTAGGGAAAGCCCATCATGCGCACTGCATGGGCTTCTTCTGTAGAACAGTGGGCCAGTTGAAACTGACGGGGGAAGTCCCACATATAGTTCGCGATTAACATTTGACAACCCCGCTAATCGCAGCTATAATCGCATGATTAGCAAAAATACATGTGGTCACGGGAAAGGTTAGAGAATAGGTAAGCATATATTAACTTCACTACAGTTCTCAGATATATACGTGATACCCGAGTACGGGCTTTCGCTCATTAGGGTCACAAGTCAAGTTCCAGCTCGTCGGAAACTCGAGGTAAACTAGCCGGAGCAAAAGGGCAAAGCGGGAGAGAATTTGTCCGCCCGACGTGGTGGTGTTTTAGGATTGAAGAATCCATGTGTTATGTACTTCCGAGAAAACGCTCCTTGCCGGCACTGCCGGTTGCATCGCCATGGTTGATCTTTCCGAGGAATGTCGTTGCGAGCGGTCTGCGATTGTGCTCTGAAACCGTCGTCGACCAAAATTGATGGGTGTGAAAACATCCTTATTTGCAACACCATCGGTCGCTTATCTTCTGCCGTCTGTACAATTCGATCCTTGAAATTTTCTTCTTGTAACAGCCAAGTCGCCAAGCTCAATCCGACTCGTGTAGGCATTAGCAGCACTACCAATACTACTAAATGATCCACTTCTGTTTCGACTTGTGTAGCTATTAGCAGCACCTGTACATCTTCCAAAGAGCGTCGCGGAATCGCCATCGAAGCCAATTGTCATCAACGAATAATCACTTGCAAATAATGTCGCAAAATAAACTTTAGAATGTTCCCACACTTCCTTAGATTCTAAAACCGATCGCTATAAACCAAACAAAGAGGAAAAATAATACCTAGAGGAAAGGTAATTGCAAATCTAAAAGAACAGATACGGCAAAGCTACCAACATAACCAAGATACAACATTCCTGATGAATTCTACCCCCTCCTCCATCTTCTCCTAAAGCCGGTTCTCCAACTCGGGTGCTTCTAGTTGACCTGAGCACTGGCTACCGAGAACTAAAGCCCGAGTATGGACAGAAGCTGCTGCCATCTGGGAGTCTCTTCATCGAAAATGTAAGTCAACGGAGATATTAGAACTCCGCTACCCCCGATCTGCACGATAATTAACGAAAATTAACAGCTGCAAATATCTTCACTTCACATTAGGATGTGACCAGGGGGAAACAAAAAATCTTTGCATAAAGCAGCTGTGTATTAGCTGTTTCCAAGATTAGGACTTACTGCTCTCAACTGCTGCACAGAGCTATAGAGCGCCTTTTTAGGTATGCAAATGACTATTGCATAGTAGTCCGAAACCACTTCTCCATTGCGTTTGCAAAAGACTGGACTTACGGTAGGTCCCTGTTAGCGTATAAGTACCAGAAAATCAGAAAATCTGGAGAGTGAGAATGACATAACTAACAGCTTAAACTTCACGTCGAGCTGGGGCTGCACTTGGAGTATGAGAAAAAAGGGATCACTGCATTACCTGCAAACCAGAGAGTGATGGTTGACTAAGTACTCGCTGAGCGACTTCCTCTGCACTCCTGCCCCTCATATTCGCTGTTACCTGTAACAAGAGTTAAAACCGATTATAAAGCATTCATTTTGAGACTTGGATAAAGTAGTCAATCAAAAGTATGTATCTGCAGTATCTGACTTGTGTATAATCTAAAAGGCTTTGTATTGCACTTGCAGAATTTTCTATAATATTTCCCCCAAATTTTTATTGCAGCAATTCCCTACTTAGTTGTTGAATAAGAAAAGGTTGAACAAGTCATACTTGAAAATGAGATACGGTACGCTTATGTCCACAGAGTACTAACCATGTCATATCCGATTGACACTGCTAAATTGGCCTCAACACAAAACTTGCACTAACATAAGTCCCCCGATTAAATTTTGTTTTTTGATGAGTACACTGATATATCTTTTTTACGCAGCTCAGCAACATAGTAATGAGTGAAAGGGGGATGGCAACAGCAGGTGCAACTAAATAGTAGGTAAACTCTAATGGGAAGTATGTCTGGATGCTGGACAGGAAGTTCAGCATCATATATACAATAATCTACGCACCGTGAATTGGCCAACTGCCTTAAGATGTGCCTCCAATCTTTCAAGAATCTCGTGAATTGCGTCAAGAACACCTTCCCGTTGGACTAGTGACTTCCTACTTGCCACAAGAACAGCCTGAACGATATTCAGGCCCAGGATAGGAGAAGTTTAAAAAAGACAGAATGAAGAAACGATCATATGGCGAGCTTGCCAATGCAAACATGTTACCCACCTGGCTTTTCAACACTGTACCACCTTCAATTTCTTTTAAGTTATTTTCTTTTAATGTTGTCCCACTACTTACAAGGTCCAAAATAACATCAGCAGTCCCCATCTGGATTACCAAAGAAAAGAAAAGAAGTCAATCGTAGATCATGCAGACACAGCATCAATACTATACTGCCAATGCCATCAATTAGCATCAGTTTAATTAAATCCTTGACCTCCCCTCATGGAGATGCCATTGCAGATATCAGTGTGCCACACACCAAGATATAATGACGGTCATACACATTTTTCTATTCACCTAAATTGCAGCTTCTAAACAAATACATGAATTGAACTACAGTTGATAAGCTCATGAGGTTGCTTTCCTAATAGCTTAATCTTTGAGGGCATAAATGTATTTCAAATTCTTTTTAACAAAGGATGAAGCAAATGTCCGTAGAATTATTTCCTTCCAAGGGATAAAATTTTCAATCATTTAAAAGAGCAAAAACCTGAAATTCATGGATTAATCACATCAACTATGGTGGCTTGATGTAGGCTCAAATATACATTCTCCGGGAAAGGGAATGTACATGCATTGCCCCATAATGTGGATAGACAAAGGTCTCCATAAGCACAATGTACCAACATTTAGAATATGAAAATTAGTGGGATGTACACTAGTTCGTCCTTCCTTTCACTGCATCTACCCGTCAAGAAAGAGATGGTAGTTTCCACTCCCTCCGTTTCCTTGTTTCTCCTCTTCAATAGGAAATATTTCTCTCCCTTTCTTAGTTAATGAAGATTCTCAATGTAACTAGATTCCCAGACAACATTTTTAATCTCCAAAGTGGGGTGCATTTAGGAGTGACATACAGGGCAGCACTCCATAGACCAACCTACAAAATTAGTGGGAATCGAGATATTTGCCAATAATGTAAAAGATGTGGTAAAAAGTTGACCCCTGAAGCAGCATGAAAAGAATAACACAACCCTGCCATACCGAGCAAAAATATTTGTATTCACCAATCTGCACTTCCAGTACAGATCTTCTAACCATCTACGTAGAAAAAGAGAAGGGACTCGAATCCAGAGCCATAAGACTCTCAATGCATTTCATCGTCTTTTGATTTTCAAAACAATAATTGAAATGGTCTGAACCTTTTTCGAACAGGAAAATGAAATGGTTTAAACTTTCAGATTTTAAATTCTAGTTGAGCACACAAGATTGATCCCCCCACGACATAACTTTACCAGAATATGGGTTCCCAAACCCCTTCTCTTGAATCTCTTAAGAGAGCTTCCACAGACATATAAACTCCAGTAATAGTTTAAAGACAAAATGCGCTCAATGAAAAATTTCATCATGACAATCACAAATCATCTGCCAATACGGGTAATGAGTTGGTAAGCTAGAAAGATAACAAATAAGTGAAAGAAATTGGTATTTTTACCGCAGGAGCTGCCTCCAATGCTCCTTCACCAGTTGAAAAGCTCACATGCTTTAGTCCAATTTCTTTCATGAACTTAGGCCCCAGCTATAAAGACACAAGGGAGAAACTTCAACTTAAGCAGTTATTAAAGGGCACTCGCTCTGGCAACCCATAAGGAAATTTGCTATTGAAGGTGGACAGATGGCACAAAAAACAATGACATTTAAGATCTGAAAATGAAAACATACGTAAGAGAAACCAGTAGCAACTCTGAGCGGTTTCTCTTTAGTCCATTGGGGCATTTGTGCTAGCTCCTTCACCGAATTGATCTTCTCAAAGATCCCATATTTGGGAATCTAATAGGAGATCAAAAGAACATATCAAACACTAAAAATTTCCATAGCAATTAAACCAATTGGAAAAAATTCTATCAGTATATCAAATTGAGAGCATAAACTTTCTTACTGCGAGAGACAAACGGCAATCCCCATAATCAAGATCATCGTGAACAATAATAAGATCTTCGTTACCCTGAATAAAAGGAGCATAAGCTCTTTTAGGACAGTCTACTATGTCAAGTTAGTGTTGCGAAATTAACATTCTACGATATCATGAAGTTGAGATGAAAACACAAAAACACTACAAAAAGTTCAGAAAAAGCTCTGATATATGAAGTTGAAGCAATCAGGAAGTTTTTGTCTCTGTCCAGCATTCCTCACACGGTGATCGATAAATCATCATTCTAGGATTTCAAGTCATAGTTTCCTATCCACACGTCCAAACAAACACAAAAAATATGAACACTCTAACCACCTAAACTATCTAAAGACTTCAAAGGTACATACTGAAACTCTTCTGCTAATCCAAGCCAATTTTCTAAATTGTTTACATGGAAAAGAGTAAACAACCCAAATAGATTCATTCAACAAGTACTACAAACTCAAGCAAGGTAATATGTGATCCGCAACTAATATTGTCATCCATTCAGGTAAGATCTGTGATCCAACTTCTCCGCTGCATATTTGACACATAGGGAGTACTACCCTATCATCTACTAACTACTAATCTGCACAATTGCAGGTGATCTATATGCCAAGTCAATCTTTAATCTTTCAAGGACGACATTCTGATTATAAACAAGCTGGGGAAGGATGACATACTATTGAGGCTACAACTGCACTTTGACAAAGTCTCCTCATCTCTTTTTCACGTATCAAGGATGGCCTACACTTTCTAAAGACAACAGGAAAACTAGGATCTTCTGTCAGATGCTCACAGGGACTCTTTAAAGTTGTATTATTCAGAGAGCCACTCCTCAGTCAACTTTATTCATAGCAGTCAATGTCTAATCAGCACGCGGCATTTTCAATTTGCAGTGGGGCATCTGGTGTGACTTCAGTCTTAGCTTTTTGGCCATAGCTATTGCCCTCAGCATTTCAAGTTTAACCTTTGTTTGATACCAAACACACCTAGTCTTGAAAAATATGTGATCATTAACATTTCAAATCGAAACGACTTATTCGTAATTTTTTGGTTTTAGCATGAAAGCTTATTCCGATATTTTGGTTTTAGAGGGAAAGCAAATACGACTTTTTGTTTGATAAAGCACTCTTGATCTTCCACTTCATACAAAGCAGGGGAAAACCGTGCAATAAATTGTTTTCACAGCTTCAGAGTATAATCTTTGAATGCAGACGAAACATTAATGAAAAATGATGAGGAAAAAATCCAACCAATGATAAAACATACAGCATATTTACCTGTCCAAATTCACTAACTGTGTCAAAACCCACTATTCCAATGTCTAGATCTCCAGATAACAATTTTCTTACAATGTCCTTTGGTCGCTGAAACCAGACTTGCAAACTAGTAAGCTGCAAGATAAGTTAGCCACCAAATCAGTTAAGAACATTCTGCAGTATATAGAACTAACAACTGAAATACCAAATGTCTACAGTAAAACAAATATAAACAGTACCCTGGAGATTTTTTTAGTTTCTCTAATTACTTTTTCATGGAGAGTTTTCTATGTTATATGAATGAGAGCAAATCTATCTAAGAATAGAGAAGCGCTTGTCTAGCTCATCACCACAGAAGTACTCTAAGACACGGACCTTTTCAACCACAGCAATTGGGTGACTTGAATTGGTCATTTCTTCTTCTTGCGTTTTGCAGATATGGTTTCAGAATTACCCATCTGGTTCAAACCATCAGCACTCTGTGAAGATTACACTCTATCTTAATTAGTACATAGACCCTATTTTACATTAATGATTTTGTAAAGGGTTAGCACTCCTTGGTTCCCTGTCCACATATTTCAGATATGATGACTATAAAATCTCTCTTTCTAAACCTATCTCTACTAGTTCTTAAAATCAAAATTGAGGTCCAAGCGAATTACAATAAAGGAACTCAAAATGTCTTACCACCATGTCTATACCAATATGAGGCACACATTTTTCATGAAATTTCCATACCTGTGGAATTCCTGCAACGTACTGTCGAGGATTAACCTGCTTGACTGACAATTGGCAATCCTTCAGGAACAAAAAGTAGAAGAGGGTCAGTACGCACATAAAAAAAACAAACCACCACAAGTCCCCTAGAGCAGCATCTCAGAGATTCAAGCCACTTTTCATCGCCAAATTCAAATCCGATAACACTACGTATAGCACGTCTGTATGCATTCAACTCTCTATAAACTTCGCATTCGGAACCGATGCCTCAGCAACCAAAACCGCAATGCGATGTATACCTCGAGGAGGCCGAGAGTGTCGTCGGCCATGCGCCCTTTGCTCGGCAGACCGAGCCGGATCTCCCTCCGCTCGCCCTCCGGCCTGCCTTTGGAGGCCGCCACCGCGACCGCGACGGCGGTGGCGGCGGCCGCGGAGGACGGCAGAGAGCCGGAGCAGCAGACGATCCTCGGCAACGCGGGCGGCCTCAGGGAGGCGGCGCCGACGGACGTGCGGGCGCGGGAGGCGGAGAGAGAAGGCGCGATTGAGGACCGCGAGAGGAGCCGCCGGGAACCGCGGGACGGCGAGGCCAGCGACATCGAGACGGGCGACATTGTTGACAGCGAGGGCAGCTCCGAATGATTGATTGAGAGAGAGAGAGAGAGAGTTTCGAAGTGTGAAGATATGGAGCGCCGCCGCGCCGCCGCCGCGAGGGGAGGACGACGACGGAGAGAGAGGGAGAGTCAAAAACAACGGCAGTGTGTGTGGGGGCGGAGATCGTATGAATTTGGTCCACACGTGACGGTGTCGAGATGGTATCGCAAATTTAACCTGAATATCCGGTGGCGCTGTCCCGCGCCCACGCGGAATTTGGTCCCGCTTTGCTCAATACAAAAATGGAAAAATGACACAAAAAATCTCTTAACTTTGGCTCAATATACAATTCGATCTTTAAACTTTTAATTTATTTAATATAATCCCTAAATTTTTACCCGATGTTCAATATGATCTCTGAACTTTTAATTTATTCAGTGTGATCCCTAAATTTTTTGTACATGTTCAATATAGTCCCTAAACTTTATAAAAATGCTCAATATAATCCTTATATTAATTTAAGTTCAGGGACTGGATTGTACAGTTTCATATAGTTTTGGGACTAAATTGAACATTTACCAAAAGTTCATGGACCACATTGAACAAATTAAAAGTTCAGGGACCGTATTGAACATTAAACTAAAGTTCAGCGACTACATTTAATAAATTAAAAGTTGAGGGACTAAATTGTACATTTAATTAAAGTTCAGGAACTGTTTGTGTCATTATTCATATAAAAATCGAATTTTCTAAAAAAAATAGAAGTTCAATAAAAAAATTCTCACTAATTGCATGTTTGGAGAAAAATAATAGTAAGAAATCGGTTTCGACCCGAAATAGAACATTTCGAAAAATGAAATCAGATTATCAGACTATATAGTTAATATCGAGATTTCATACTACATTTTTATGACGGTAAAATTATTGAAAACCCAATTCCTCCATCGACCGCCATCACTGCTCCCATCTTTACCATCAATCGCCGGCTTTTGCCTTTGGCTGCCGAACTGTGTTACCAATAGTCAAACTCTACGGCCGGTCAGCAAACTTGCGATTGTCTTTGAATTCACATCAAGCATAAGGTCCGAAAACTATAACAATGAAACTGTAGCGGGTGTAAAAGGGATTTTTAGAGAGGTTTATGACAATTGACAATGTCATTCGCAAAATCAAGTATCACGAAGTCAATTATCGAATGCTAAGTACCTAGTGTTATCCTTTTAGAAGAAAATCAGAAAATATATTGTGTTTAACGAGTGGTAATTGGATTGAATGGATTGAAAAGTCTTGCTCGAGGAGTTATGTCTAGCAAATCCAACTATACGAGATGATGTATAGGATAATCCCTATTTATCAGTGTAGCATGTATTGATGATGTAAAATTTAATATATTATATATATATATATATGTAAGCATACATGTCAAGGGTGATTAGTTTTAGAATGAGCAGATTTTAGACCAAAAATTTAGAACCTACATTATAAAAATCGCTTCAGAATCGGCCTATAACCGAACCGGCTGCTTCTAGGGTTAATCGAAGAACCAACCTACTTTTTTCCCTTTCTTTTTCATTTTTTTCAAGTCAAGCAAATTTATTTTGTACTCGTAATGCAAAAAAATTTCCCATAATTAATATAAGACTCAAATAAAAACATCCAGATGAGAAAACTAAAGATGCCACATTAGCGCTTCTCTTAAAATATATAATAAAAATAAAGTCATATATCCTAAGAAAGTAATAAAATAGCCATGTTAACATTTGTTGTTGATCGAATTTGACGGAGATAACGGAATGATTTAATTGCACAAACTTGACAAGATTTAGACTTGATTGTAGTTAGTGAAAATTTTAGGATTCAGTTGCACTTTTGTAACAAGTTTTAAGATTAGTAAATTATTGCTAGTTTATAATGCGATTAGTAAATTTATAAAATAATTAAACAAGCCTAGACCCTTCCATGCCTAACCTATCACATGCCCCGAGCCTCTATGTTCGGGCTCCCACGCAGGCTCGGACAACCGTTTGTAGCGAACTCCATACATTCTTGCTTTTGATTGTACATTGAGATGGTTAATGGTTTTATAATTTTTCTTAATGCTTCTCAATCTCTCTTTGCCATCACCGCTGGCCTTTGCTCACGGAACTCTCATGCATTGTGCACTTGCTGTGCACATACCGTGCACGTCCCGTGCACGTCCCGTGCACTTTTTCTAGAAGGATTTATGGTTAAAAGGACTCCTCAAAGTGTATATGCATTAATTTTTAACCCCTAAATAAAAATAATTCTCATTAAATCGCATAGCATGTGTACACTGGATGTATTTGCATTAATAAAATTTAGTAGAATATATTTTCCTTTTCTTTTAAAAAGTATTATTAAAATTTAAAAAAGAAGAAGAGAAAAGAAAAGAAAGACAAAAAGAAAGGGAAGTTCTGGCACATCATAGATTGTCACAAAAATAGGGAGAGACAGAACGAAGGGGAGGGGAGAGAGAATTTAGAGGGGACACTCGGAGAAGAGTGGCTCCAAGATCAGAATTTTTTGGCCGGAGACATACAGCTCTCAGTTTTCTTCTTGTTCCTTCTTAGGAAGGTTCACCCACCCCTCCGCTCGCTCGGCCGACCATCTTCTCCGCCAACCACCACAGCTGCTTGCCTTCTAGCACGTTGTCGGCTGTGGATGAACACCTGAGGGAGCCGCAACCCATTTTCCGGTGATTCCCGCAGTTTGAGGCCGCCACAGTCAATCTTTTATTTCCTTGCCTTTAGTGTGCATATATACGTTTTTGATTTGCTAGAACGGCATTTTGTTTTTTATGTGTGTTTTCGGTAACATTAACATCGACAACTCGAGGTGGTGGTAGTTGTCGGGGTGACGTGACGACCAACCGGTGGTTGTCAGTGTAGGTGACTTTGTTTCGACAACTCGAGGTGGTGGCCGATGGCTGGGGAAGGAAACCCCGGCGAAGGAGTCTCGGTGAAGAAAGAACGTGAAATTAGTTTTTTGGTTAATTTCATTATATCTTAGTGTTAATTTTATTCTAGACTTAGTATAAAAAATAGAAAAAAAATGTGAAAACCTTTGAAAATTGCCCCCAAAAAATTGAACAAGCCATTAGAGCTTTACAATAAGGTTTTTGATTCTTTCAGTACATTTGGGATCGGCCATAAGCGAGCTTGAGCTTGCCGAGCCTCGCCAAATCCGGCTATTAATTTGACAAGTAAAGCAATTTTAGTAAATTATTGCTAGTTTTAATGAGATTAGTAAATTTATAAGAGGGAATTAGTGTATACCTTCCTTTTTAATATTACAACATTACCGGTATTGTTTCTCAAACTTGCTATAAAATAATTAAACAAGCTTAGACCCCATCCATGCCTAACCTGTCATTCTCCCCGAGCCTCTGCGCTCGGGCTCCCGCCCATCGGGCATATCATTTTGACATGAAATAATTGATAATCTCAAATTGGCGAAACTCATTTCCTACTACTAGTAGCCCCTAAAAAATCATTAAAACCTATATATCTAGTAGTCTCTCAAAATCAACCAGTATTTACCTATGCAGCATATTGCCAATTGACCCATGTTTTTGAAAAAAAAAAAAATGCAAAGAAGGTCACTTTCTTAAAAGATCTGAAATGCAGGCTTTTAGTTATAAATGTCGGAAACAACCATCAGTCACTGCACATTTTAGCTCCTCGAGACATCATGCAAATGAAGAATCAAGGGTCAAAACCAATGTAACTAAATGAATATAAGAACTCCATTTGGTTATTACAGGGACCACATTGTACATTGTACCAAAGTTTAGAGATTATGTGTGTTATTATCCGAATGTAGAAACATCCAAAATTCAACAAACGTGTGACTGTCTTGCTTCTTGCGTGATGTAAGTTGCTTTTGAAAAGGGTGATAACAATACCGACAATTATGTTTATAATTGCAAACCCTGGGTAGGCTAACGGAGATCCATTGAAGGCAGCAACAGTAGCCCAATCCAGGGCAAAGGAGCCAATACCGAGACCACTACGTCCGGAGCCAATTATTTGCGCTGTGACTGAGTCCTTCCATATCCAACATACAAAGGATATGGCAGTTATGGATGGAAACAGATAGTTTGGAAGCTGGCAAAGCAAGATCCTGATAATTCTTGGTATTATGTTCTTCTATCAAACATTTATTCCGGTACTAGCCACTGGCAAGAAGCCCTAAATGTGCAAAAGATGATGAAGGATAAGAAAGTGCAAAAAGTAGCAGCTTATAGTTGGGGAGAAGTGGATAACAAGCTGCATAGATGCACGACCGCGTAGATAAGTTGAATAGAGAATAAATTAATTACATTCTTGCTTTTGATTGTACATTGAGATGGTTAATGGTTTTATAATTTTTCTCAATGCTTCTCAATCTCTCTTTGCCATCCCCTGGCCTTTGCTCACGGAACTCTCATGCACCGTGCACATGCTGTGCATGTTCCGTGCACTATTTCTAGAAAGTCTTATGGTAGGATGTATATACTCAAAGCAAATACCATTAATTTAGTGATTTACTGTGTCTGAATATCCACTTCGTGGAATTGAACTATGTATTGTAGGATCCTAAGACTTGTAAAGAAAAATTATGTAACACGTATATTATTTTTATGAAATTCAATAAATATGTCTTGAGGTCGAGTTTAAAATCTCGATATATACTTTCACAAAGATCAAACTGTGTTCAATCTATATGACACTATAATCTTATTGATCTTAAGAAGATCATTGTCTTGGGAAAATCCTAGCTTAATAATATCTTAGGCGAATCCGGCGTTTCTTTACCTTTTATTATAGTACGGTGAGATTCTAGAATCTCAATCGGCATTTTAGCAGCAAATAGTTCCTTGTAGATATGGCTAGAACCGATGGTTTTCTCCAACTATTAACTACTGCTAGCTAGATTAATCTGGTATGGTTTTTTTTTTATACCCATTTCGAGCAGGGAAATTTTGCCACTCGATCGAAGGCATGTTCATGCTGAGACCTGTGTTGCCAATTTTCATTGTGGGCGAATTACATTAAATTCATTATTTTTCAGATTATTTGAACAAAGACGACAGCCATACCAGATTCGCGTGTGCCGGTATTTAGTTGAAGTATGTATTTGGTGCATCAGAATGCTCCCGTGGCAATGCTTTTGAGGTCCTCATTTCATTATTGATTGGTGATATGCCTGAAAACAGCCGGTTCTCTTATCACATATCTTTGTGGAGAAGATGGACACATTCTCCTGTGCTTGTGAATCGTGTTACGGCACGGTGGTGTCCGAGCAGCTGTCGAGTCTGTTATCAAGGGGATGCTTGACTAAATTGCCAAATTGTCAATCTATACTCACCAATGCTTCATCCCTCTTCAATCTCCAAGTGAATGTTGGACCAAATTGCCTATGATATGTTTCTTTCCTAGTCAAAAATCAATCCATACTCAACATGCATCATCCTACCCTCTATTTATAAGAATCAATTAGAGTTTCTTGCCCATATTTATTTCCATCCAAAAGATATCTGTCAAGTTTAAGAATCAATCAAATCAATTTTACCACTCGGCATTTTAATTAAGCGATTTCAGCCATGGGCTTGGGCCAAAGTTTAATGCTCTCGTGGGCTCAGTCTAGCTTATTAATTAAGTTCCGAACCACCCGTTCAAGCCTATCCGCCGCCAATCTAATTTAAATGCACTATATGAGCCTATTACCACAAATGCCCCTAAAATTTATATGCAGTTTAATTATTATTTTTTTGCTAGGCGCCGCGATTGACCTCTAATTTTTTTATGTGATAAATAGCTAAGTAGATCGCCAAAATTTAAGTGTCAACGGCCGCTGATGTCCAGCAAAATTCACATTTTTTTCCTAACTTTTCTAAATACGGATGACCTTTTAAATTTCGACAGCAAAATTCATGTATTTATTGTAATTTTTCCAATAATTACGTGAGAAAATTCCATGATCAGTATAATAGGATCTAAAAATGACGATACTGTGAGTTTAAATTAATTGTTCTACTGATGAGAATGCTTTCACATTGTAATCGGATCATTTATGCTACAAGATTTTATCAAAGGTATCTCGTTTAATATGAATATTTTACTATTTCGTACTATCCAATTAAAAATCAAAAGATCATAATATTTTCGTCGAGTGATCTGATATCACGTGCTCCATATAAATTATACGTTATGTCATATCATTAATTAACCGTTAAAAATATGAAATTAGTTAAAACTCGAATAATTTTTATTCGATTAAAATATGACATGCATTTGATACGTGTATTTTTTTTAGGTAAGTTCAATAAATACGCGGGAGATGAAAATTTTGTCGATAATGGCATATGTACAAACGTTTTTTCGTTCAATATTTTACTGACAGAGCCTCATCTTACCACGACATGCATAAATGTATGGGATGAATCCATGAACTTTGATATACAATGGCGTTCCTAAACTTTGAGTTTGTTCATTATGGTCCCCGAACTTTATCTCAATATGCAATGTGGCCCATGAAATTTAAATTTATTTAATATGGCCTATGAAGTTTTGATACATGTTCAAATATTGTTTAATGTTGTCATTTCATTAATTCAAGTTCATGGACAATATTGGATAATCTAGAGACCAAATTTAACATGTACAAAAAGTTCAAGAGACTATGACGAATAATTTGAAAGTTCAGAGACGACAATGAATATTGGGTTAAATTTCAGAGACTATATTGAACAAATTTAAAGTATATGAATCACATTGCATATTGAATCAATAGACACGTGGGCACGGAAGGCAAAGAGAGAAGGTGCAATTGAGGATGGCAAGAAGGTGCAAAGAGAGAAGATATGGGGTGCCACCGCTAGTGGAGAACGACGGCGGAGAGAGAGAGAGTAAAAAAATGCTCTTTTGATTCAACTTTCTAAATGTTACTTAGGAGAATGCAAATACCTTTAAGTTAAAATCTCTTGGGGAAGTGCAAGTGGTGTTTGATAAAAAAATCATTTGTAAAGTTACTTTGGGCCAAGTAGTGTTTGGTAAAAAAATTTTTTGCAAAAGGACTTTGGGAATTATCTTTTTTATTAAAAAAAAAAACCTACCCTACTCTTTGCCGGAGCCGGCGAAGGCCTATAGCTGTCGGCAGCTGTCACCCAAGGTTGGGCGACCCTCCGCGAGTTAGATTTGCCGTCGGCGATCGTTGCCCGAGGCCAGGCGACCCTCGCCCTCGGCGAGGCTCGCGTGATGTAGGCGGCTGTCTCCTGGGTCACGTGACTCAGGCGGCCGTCGCTTGGGTCATGCGACTCAGGCGGCCGTCGCCTGGGTAGCGTGGCCTCAGGCGACGGCCACCTGAGGGCCCGTTTGGTTCAACTTTCCGAATGCTACTTAGGAAAATGCAAATACCTTTAGATTAAAGTCCCTTGGGGAAATGCAAGTGGCGTTTGGTAAAAAATCATTTGTAAATCTACTTTGGCTAAAGTAGTGTTTGGTAAATTTTTTTTTGCAAAAGGGCTTTGGGAATTATCTTTTTTATTAAAAAAAAACCTGCCTTACCCTTCACCGGAGCCGGCGAAGGCCCACTGCTACCGGCGAGCTAAATCTGGAGCTGACGACCGTTGCCCGAGGTTGGGCGACCCTCGACGAGCTATGTTTGCCGCCGACGGCCGTCGCCCGAGGTCAGGCGACCCTCGACGAGGGTCGCGCGACCTAGGCGGCAAATGGCCTCGCGCGACCCAGTTCGGCGGCGCTTGGGCAGTCGCGCGACCTCAGGCGACTGTCGCCTGGGTTGTGCGACCTCGCCGGCCTCTTGTCGGCCCGATCCGGTGTTGGCCGCCCTCACTGGCCGCCTCATGATGAAGATGAATAGTACCAAGAGGGGCAAAATCGAAATAAGCCAAAATAAGTGAGAGTAGTTTGGGGACAAAAAAATTTAAGTTCAGCATTTGTCCAAAGCTAGGCCAAAAGTTGAACTAAACGGTTCAGCATTTTGGGAAGGAGCTTTCGAGGCCGAAAGCTCCTTCCCAAAGCTTAACCAAACGGGGCCAAAGAGGGGGAGCTTGTGTGCGTGTGTGGTGGAAGCTGAGAAATGTCACTTTTGTCCTTGCGTGCAACTGCAGCGAATGTCACGCTTGACCTGAATATCCCGTGGTATACGTGTCTCGTTTGGTCCATTCGCTAAATCCAACTCCACCGACAAATTGGATTTTAATTCCCACTAATTTCATGCTTGAGAAAAATAAAGAGTACTGATTTGGATTCCGTGATATAGTGATATAGATTACTTAACTAACTAGGGTTGTACTATTTTACATTTTAATAAGATTTTGATAACTACATCACCCAATTCCACCACCAACCGGTGGCGGCTAGCCGCCACTGCCACTGGTTGCCAGATTTCGTCGTTAGCCCTCGGACTTTGTTGCCCATGGCCGGACTCCTCCGCTGGTCATGGGACTTTGTTATAGAAAATCAAATTCCCACAGTATATTGCGGAAATTAACTGTTAGCTGTCAATGCCCGATTGCCGTTCGCCGTCACTAACGAGAAATATTCTCTCATTGAAAATCAAATTTTCTTATGATCCACAAACTATTTGTTGACACCTATTATCGCGGGGAGGTCGCGACACTGTTGTAAAGAAGATTAGTTGGAATGGAAATCCATTTGAGAATTCACCGTCTTGGAACCAAATGAAGCCTCATAAGCTATACTAGCTTTGCATGGCACGGGCACCGTTCTTACCATATAACATAGGGAAAATTCCAAATCAGTATCTAAAGTGTAGCCATTTTCTCAAAAAAGGGTCCAAAGTGGACATAATGTCAAATAAAGGCATGAAGTACTCAATCAGTTTCAAATAGGAGCCCAAAGTGCCCAATTAGTCTCAAATAAGGGCATGGGTTCGCCAGCCGGTCAAATGCTCACCGGCTGGCGAGCACGTTACTATTCCGGCGACTGGAACAAGGATAGTTTTGTCTTTTTCTTTTTTTCCTTTTTCTGTTTTTTCCTTTTCCTTTTCCTTTTCCTTTTCTTTTTTTTTTTTCTCTTTTCCCTCCGCCAGCCATAGCCGGGGCGGGCAGAGGTTGCCGGCCTTAGGTGGAGGCTGCCCTCGCCTGACGCCGGCGAAGGAAACCCAGGGCCGCCCTCGCCGGGGGTGGGCGAGGGCGACCCTCGCCAGATCCGGCTAGAGCAAGGGTTGCTGTCGCCGGATCTGGCGAGGGTCGCCCTCGCTCGCCTAGCCTAGGCGAACTGGCCTCCGCCTGAGGCCGGCAATCTCCGCTGGCCTCGGCTACGGCCGACAGAGGGAAAAGAGAAAAAAAAACAAAAAAGGAAAAGGAAAAGAAAAAAACAGAAAGGAAAAAAAGAAAAAGATAAAACTATCCTTATTTCGATCGCCGGAACAGTAACGTGCTCGCCGGTCGCTAAGCATTTGACCGGCCGGCGAATCCAGGCCCTTATTTGAAATTAATTGGGCACTTCGAGTCTCTATTTAAGACTGATTGGGCACTTCAAACTCTTATTTGACACTATATCCACTTTGGACCCTTTTTTAAAATAATGGACTTACTTTGAGTGCTGATTTGGAATTTTCCTTATAACATATATAAGCAATAATTGACACATCACATCATTATTTGACATTTGAAAATCAAGAATTAATTATAAGTTGGATAATTTTCATTCGAATGTAATACGATGCGTGCTTCGTACATGCATATTTTCGTAAGTCCTACAGATAATCACGTATACGCAGGTGTTTTTTTTTTTATTCTTCTGTAGAAATACGAGTATTTTACCTTACACGACACGCATAAATGTATATTCCGAAATTCGGGTAATACGAGGGACTGGCATTCCTTCCGGTCGAAGTCCCTCACTGTTTCTCGAGCTCCAAGCAAACCTCGATCGCCCCCATGGAGTCCGCGAAGCCATGGACGGAGGGCGCGAGGTTGAAGACGAAGGCAGCGTTGCGCCTCTGGTTCGCTGGATTCGCGGACGCGTGCTGCCTCCACCGAGTCGTCTCCCTCTGCCTCAAGTATACCTTCCTTCCTTCTTCGTCTTTTGGCTCGTCGTTGCGGCTCTTCCGAGCTTCGCTGCTTCTCGATTGGCGTTTCTGGTTTTCCCCGGGAAATTATGGAGGAATTTGAAACTGACCCGAATGGGTTTTTCTTTTTTCGGTTGAATTCGCGCTTTGGTGGTAGGTCGAAGAAGCTTTCGATCAGGACCGGGCAGTGTTTTCTCTTGAACGGCTTCATATTCCTCGGGAGGTACTTGCTGGGTCTCTGGGAATCCTGCTTTATCAGATGAATTTGGCTTCATGTTTGACTGGGATGCCGTTTTTAGAAGTTGGGTACTACGCGGTCTCTCTGTTCAGTTGAATTTGCGATTTTGGGTTTTTTTGAGACTGTCGTTGGTGGTCTATATGTTAGAGATCAAGGAGATCAGAAGCTATGTTAGCTTGAAAGCACTTATCTTTAGTTCATTACCTCAGGACTGTGGCGTCCGTTGATTTGTCTGCAAAGCTGTGCCTTTTATGTTTCGGTCATTTCATGTCCCAGTGCCATCGGTTGGAAGATCCTTACCCGTTTGATGAAATTTTCTTAGGGGACTTCCTTTCTTTTTCATTGTTCTGAATGCAGTCAGGAAATTATAAATCAGAATGAAGTGTACTTATTCTCCAGGCATGGATGATGGTGATATTCGAACGAACTCTTTAAGCTATTGTAATTCTTTTGTGAATTGTGATGAGGTCGGTGCTGTTGCGCAAGCGGTTGTCTGTTGTGGTTCTCTCTTCCTTTTGATAGAAGTTTCTTTGGCTTCGCTTGAAATTTGTGCCTGAGGGAAAGGAGGAAAATTTCAGTGAAACTCATGATAATGGGACCACTGGAAGTACCTGTTTGTACTTAATGTTAATGAAGAGAGGGGTTCTGGTTCTCGTGGAGCACTGCCCTCCTGTCCATCCAAGTCAATTGCCACATGAGAAGTGTTATAATTTTATAAGAAAATAACTCATAATACTTGGCACGCTTTATGAGGTTATTGGCATGGTTGGCTTGTTTGCATCATCCTTTGGAGCAGCTAAAAGTTTCTCCACTGAATTAGGGTATAGTCTTGCTATGAAAGAAGGAGGGGTAAGATTGTAGGAAGACTAATCGTGGGTGTGTTGGAAACTCTTAATAAACATAATGAACGTAGCGAATTGTTAATGGGCTAAGATTTTAGGCTAACATTTGATGAAAGGACTAATTCTTTTACTATCAATTAATTTTTTTAGCAATTGCTGTTTCTCTTAAAAACTCATTTTTTTGGTGCATGAGGCAAACTTGAGCTAGAAAGGTGTAGGTAGCGCTATGAAGTGGACGACTGGAACAGTGAAAATATATATGTTTAGCTGGAAGAGCTAAAAACCTAGCATCATCTTTAGTTAGGAAACATGTGCAAAGCATGTGTTGATATTAGTTCCAAAAACTAGTTGACTCATGCTGTGAAGTGTTTTCATGGTGTTTTCATTGCATTCAGTTGTAGTTATTTTCTAGATTGTTATAATCAGTTGAATCTCTTGATTAATGTATGCGAATAACAGCTGTAATTTGTAACAATTGATATTTTTGATAGATTTTGTTTCTCAACTCTTCTAGCAATGCTCTTCCACTTCGTTCTTCAAAATTCTACATGCCGTATGTGTGAAGAAAATAATTTTGATATATTTGCAGCATCTTTGTCTTAAAATCGCTTGTCATCCCTACACTTCAGTGGATATTGCCCGAGAACTGCTCTCAGATTACTTCTCAAGATTCTTGTCCTTCTTCCAGTGTTTTGAATCTCTACTCCTTCCTACGTTTTGGACTCGTACAATTATTTTATGTAAGTATGCTCATGCCACTTGCAGTTTTTTACTTACTAAACAGATCTGCTGTTTTATGGCCTTGTGTTGGCAGGGCAGCGGACACTACCCAAAGCTATAGTGTTTTGTGGAAAAAAGGGTCGTTTGCTGTCCTTATCTGTTGCATAACTTTTGATTTCTTCCTAGCTTAGCACTCAAAGTTAATCACATTTTAGATGTTGAGTATGGATTGATTTTTGAGTAGGAAAGAAACAAATTATAAGTAATAGAATTTATTGTTTGATTTCTAGGATCCTAAGCTTGGGAAATAGTCTCGAGAGATATATAGGGCATGGAAAGTACCCTACTGACCCCTGAAAGTGCTCAATTTAAAGAGTAGTGTTATTTATTTAATTGGTGTAACCTTTGTACAGAAAAAAACTCAAGATAAGATTTTAAGATAGGTGAGTTAGCATCAGGTTTACAGAGACTCAAAGAATGGCAGGCATATCACAATAATGAGAAAGTTAATGTTTTATGTTATGAAATTTCTTATAATCTCTTATGGATTAATTAATTCTTACCTGGATGTTTTTTTTTTTTGACAGGTTTTCTGGTTCTACCCGTTGTACATATTTAGCTTCATTTTGAGCACTATATGGTATTGCCCTCACTTTCACCAAAATTTCATTCTACACTAGTTATTTTACGTCTTTTTACTCTGGTAGTCTTGTTTGTTTGATTTATGGGAATTTTCCATGAAGTAAGGATAACTTAGGCATCGTGACTAGGAAAGAAAATACTGTAAACATGTGCATATGGCCTTTCTTGTAACTTAAAAGGCAGGAGTCAACATGTTATTCTGTTATCAATGGAAACAAGGAGAAAGAAAAGATTCCTGTGATAATTTGTGGGTAAACTTGACCTAGTGCATTTCCTATTGTAACTGATGTCTTAATATTGAAAGCTAGCAAAAGCAACACGTCTTTTGTTTAGTCGATGCAAGAAAAACAAGGAATGTAAAGCTGTTCATAACTAGAAAGGTTAAAGAGACTTAATAGAATTCTTGGTGCTTGATTAGCCTTGTTGTTATGGGGATAAAATTGGTCCAGGGGAAGAAGGTGCTCCTGATGGATGCATTTCATAACCATCTTTTGTGAGGTGGTCATTGAGAGATTTAATAAATGGTCCGCTTTTATTGCTTGCATCCTAGGCCATGATAAACATGTGTCCCAGATATCAGTTTATCTGGTTGTAACTCAGTTTTGCTTTCTCGGTGTCAGTTCGCAATAAGGAGGTTTCTAGATCTACCGCTTCACTCTTACTGTGCTGTCTACACTTCTAAATTCTTTAGGACATAGAATCTTTTGTTGATTATTGTGCAATCTTTCCTAGTACTTATGATATAGGTCATGGATGAAATCTAAGATTTTGGTGGAAGATGTGAATGCAGGTACAGTGACATAGCTAAACATGGATTTGCTGCTTTGGAAGGATCTCGCTCTATATTAGAGCAACCCTCAAGCCAAAATGAGGCAGTGGCCTCGGAAAGTAAGATTGAAACAGAAAAACTAGTTGATCTTGGAGGGTATAGAACTAAACACGGTTGACTATTCTTATACTTGGCTACGGAAGTTGGCCTTTGGTATTAGTTTATCTGAAGCTAATGTGGTTTCATTTTCCTTAGGGTGATGATCGGAATTGGAGAGCAGGTGTATTCAATACTGCTTCTGACCTTCTTCTTCCTAGAGGTGAAATAAAGTCTAGATTTAATCTTGATAAGCTACATCATGGGTTAAAAAGCATTTTAATTGGACTTTGAACTATTCTAGTGATCAAACACGTTTTATAACCCACAGGTGTTGAATAGAGTGAAAGGTTTTGTTAATTGCTCAAGTGTAGTAGAATTTGACGAGGTGCCTGATTCCTGTGATGTGTACGTGTTCACAAACATCGCAGCCCAAGTGTTTACACCATTGTGGCTCCTCATGCAATGTTAGTAGAATGTTTTCCCAATAATGAGCAATTTCTGTTTTAAAGGCCCATGTCGTTGATTTATGAGGGAATCACCATAATGAAATCGGTCATGTAGATGCGATTGGAGGGGAGACTGCCCGATCTTTCACCTCTTCCATGCCTAATAAGATGAAATGTCTTAGCTATATGACTATACTGAAACTGTGATTCCAAAATAAGTCTTTTGAATGCTAGACCTTATATATTCTCTTGTTTTAAGCAGTTTTATGGGGATCTATTTTCTGCTGCTTTGTTGCCTTAACAACCGCATCTTTCAGTTTCTTTTCATACACCATTTGTATGAATGCCTGACAAGCTGAGAAGTTGTTACTGCACCTTGCAGGTTTATGCTCTAGGATTTGTTCCCTATATTGGAAAGCCGCTTAATTTTTTGCTGCTCTCCTGGATGTATGCTTATTACTGTTTCGAGTATGTAATCCTCTCAATGTATTTAATTGGGTTACACATTCTGCTCGCATTTTTCCTTCTTTTTATATGGAACTTTGTAGGTACAAATGGAACTTTACTGAAGTTAGTCTGGACAAGAGGCTGGACTTTTTTGAATCCAATTGGGCATTCTTTGCTGGCTTTGGTAATGCAACTTCTGATCATGATACTTAATATGATCCATTGCGGCCTCAGTGTGTGTGTGTGTGTGTGTGGGGTGTGCGTGTGTGAATGCAACTTCTGATCATGATACTTAATATGATCCATCGCGGCCTCAGTGCGCGCGCGCGCAAATGCAATTTCTGATCATGATACTTAATATGATCCATTGCGGCCTCAGTGTGTGTGTGTGTGTCAAAAACTTATTCACCATGGTTTATGTGGGATCCACAAATCCAAGAGTATCTGCAGTGGCTTTTTATTGTTTCTTGCTCCTGCAATGGATGTGCTAATTTTTTTTATGGCGTACACGCACATGGGGGTTAGAAAAATATGCTATTTCTTATGTTACACACTTTTTCATCATCGTCTTGACATTATCTACATATGAATAGAAAAGTAGTTTCATATGCTTTCTTTTAATAGCAAAGGATGTGCTGATATATCTGACACAAGTAATAAAAGTGAATGTTTGAGTATAATCCCTAAATAATGCTCTTTTCATGTCCTTTGTATGGTTTCTTTTTTCCCAGAAATAGTCTATAGGAGACTGGCAGTCAAGTTTGGTGATCTGCATGGAAAAGTATGAAATGTAAACTGGAGCCTAGAACTTGAGTCAAGGGACTACTGGTTGAAGTTAAGTGATAATATGAAGAGTTGACTTTAATGATGCTCTTCTATTTTATCTGGAAGAGAAGGATTAGATTAGCTTGATCTTCCTAAATTACTGATTTACGAAATTTTATTAATCTGATGGGAGCTGGTAAAGATATGTCATTCTAAACTATGATATTCTATCTACAAAGACAATACAAGAAAATTAGCATACAGTTCTTCAACTTGTATGCTATCATAGTTTAAAATTGACTTTATTGCTCTGAGGTAACTTATATTTAGAATGAGTTAATAGATTTTTCTAATGTTGACTAAATAGAATATGTCCTGTTTGAATAAGCGAGATGAGCTTTCCTATTGTAAGGAGTCATTTTGATCACTACATTGGATTACCTTTTCCGTATCAGCTTTAAGAATTTCATATGAAATGACAAACTGGGTTATGTTTATCTACAGAGAGTTCAATTGAATTTTGTATACCTGTTAGGTAAAATTGAAACAATCGCAAGAAACTAAAACTGGGTCAAAGTTTGTCTTCTTAAATTTGTCAACTTGCGGTGAATGTTAAATTATGTGGCTTGTAAAAAAAACACATGCATTGTTGATCTCTTATAACAGACTTTTTGAGTCACGGCATGCTTGTCCCTCGTTTTGACTGAATCTTCTAAATCAACGTGCGGGTTATAATGGTGTCTCCCAGCATATCATGTTGGAAAATGGTTCATATGTTTCTTTGAAGCACATATGATTCTTTTTTCTTCCAGAGATGGCATTATATTTAGTGTTATTATGTTTTAATTCCATGTGGAGATTCAACGCCTATGTACTTCTAGGAGAATGTTAAAATGAGATTTAATTTCAAGGCATAATCTAATTCTGATTGGGAGCTAGTGAGCCACTTTATTTGCTGGTTGTGAGCATGTCTAAAATGCAGTTTACTCGGTGGCAAGTCAATCTATTTATTCAATAGATTTGCTTAAATTCCTTACAGGAAACCCCTGCGTTCTGGCTATTTTCTTTTTCTCACCTCTAGTGGGATATGGTGTCATGGCTATACTTTTTCCACTGGTATGTCTTTGCCTTTTCCTCTATTGCCTTTAATGTGTGCATATAATGCTAGAAGCATTTATAATAGTTAAAGCTCTTTTTGTTTGCTGGTTGATTAAAAATTTAGTCAATTTTCAGCAATTGTCTCGAGCACTTGTGATGTAGTTTCATTTTAAGTGTGAAATGATATACTCACACTTTATTTCAAACCCCTGGTCAAGTCTTTTCCTTAGTTAACAAATTTCTGCCCCTAAATTCGTGCTTATCATCCGCTTTGGCTGTTCGCTGCTAAACATCTATATAATTCTTTATCCGAATCATGCTTAACTCAGGTCTAGCTGCGCTAGATCAGCATTAATTGTAAAATTTCCTAAATGGTGCTTATGTGCTATAATAGATGTCATAAATGCTGAATTGGACTCCAAGTTTAAAGCTTTGTCTCATTAACATGGAAACATAATAAATTTAAAGTAGGTCAGAGACCAAAAAACATACAAGAAGATAGCAAACCCTTATGTTTCCCTGGGCAAGCAGCCTGTTGATGCTGCTAGATATCAGAATAGGCGTTCCAGCATCTGAAGGAAAGTAGATATGCTGGTATTCTGTCATTGAACCGATTGTACAGAGGAGTGCGGCCACATATTCTTCTTAGGCATCCCATTTAGTGTAGAGTATGTACTTCAACATTTAGTTGTTTTATTGTCTTCAGAAGAAATTGCCAAATCAGCAGATGACACATGGTTCTTCATACTTTTCTTTAATATAACCGTGCTTACTTCTCTTTGCTGAATGATCAGATTGGTTTGATTCATTCGCATTCTCTATACTAATAAATGCGTCTTTCAGTTTGTGTTGACAGCTACCAGCTCAAGGGCTGAGCAAGCTATATTTTCTGAAAGAAGAAAGCAGAGAGATGCTGGATTCGGAAGGCTTCCAATATTTTATGTAGCCAATACTTTGTCGTAAGATTCCTCTGTGTCTATTCAATTTCTTAGACAAGCAGCACCTTTTTTTTTGGGTATGACGTGAGTATGGATTTTAGCAGCAATAGGATATCCAGATTTGGATGAATTACCTTCACTTATCGATTGCTTTGCAACTGTGAACATAACGGCAATTCTTGGCTGTTCAATTTGACAATCTTATAATTGAAACTTAAGTCTCCGCCTAGGTTTTGTGTATCATTTTATCTCTGTGGATGTTTGCTGTTGATCTTGTGAGACACATTTAGGAAGTTTTTATCATTTTCTACTGTAGTTTCATGACATTGTAGAGATAGTAGTACTAGAACTCTCTTGATGCTTAGAGAATTGTATTTTGGCTTGACAAAGTAGCTAATGCTGTTTCAAATGCTGACAATGCTAAAAACAGCAACCAAGTGTTATCCCACCAATCTGGATTGGGTACGTGGATCCACTTACATTCTCTCTGTTTCATGCTAATTTTTCAATTGAGATCCAAATATTCAAAATCTTTATGTCGAGTCTACTTCCATATGTTTTAAAATCTCTCCTCATCCCTTTTAAATCTACATCCCTATGATAGAACCGCATCTAAACACTGTTGTTCTTCATTGTGGGACCCACCTCAGAAGAACTTGTCATCTTATTTCTAGTTGAGGCCACACAAACTTTTCCTCGAAAGCCTTTCCTTTTTTTTTTTAAAATGCTTTTCAGTCTTTAGTGCCCCCGCATTGATCTAAGTAGTCATATCTGCTATCCCTATCTCGCGCACATGTTGGGAATATTTTCAAGTGATATTTCATGCGAAAAAGCATTCTTGGCCTTGCACGCATGTTTTAGGGTGATATTATGCAGAATTGTTTTAAGTACAGTATGATCCAGCTTAATTTTTTCTGTGAAACAGTGTAGAATAAGGATATGGGGTTGATCTAAATATTATCAAATTCCTTGTCAGGATTTGGTGATTTTGCGGATACATTGACATGTCCTGTATCTCTACTTTAAATCTTCGCGATGCTACTATTTATGTTTCACTCTAATTCTGTAGGATGTGGGTCTTGGGTCTTTTCTCTTCGGAATCTCGGGAGCAAGTACGAGAAAAGAAGATGCACTAGAAAGCTTTGATCACTGCAGACATAATTGTAGCCTGCAAGGTACTTGCTTATTACCCATGAACCCTCTCAGCTCTTGCACAGGTGATTCATTAACAAAGTTATCTGGTCATGACGGTGGTTATGGTGTTGTTATTGCTCTATTTTGATTCAATAGACTGCGCCCTACAACGATATATGTTGACAGTAACACGTGTGCTTCCGTACAGGAGGTCAAGGTATCGACAATCATCTGACGCATCTGATGCTAAGAAGTCTGTACATATTCATTACAAAATCCTGCAGCATAACATTTCCATGAAAGGCATATTTGTTAATGAACCGGGTGGTCCACAACGACGCTGTTGTGTTCGTCTGCTATTAACAAGTTTGTAAAGCACTCATCTGTAAATTCTTGCCGACACGTGAAATTCCCTGGTGAAGGTCGACATGTTGACTCTTACTTTTCATCCTTTGAATTGTACATAGCAACATATCTTTGTTAAGTTGCAATAGACTGTACAGCTTTTCTAATTTTGTCCTGATTTCGTGGTACTATTTGCTGGAAGGATCCTCAGTATCTGTGCTCTAGTTGGTGTAAAAGGCGGTTCCCCTTGTATTTGTACCTGGTGAGAAATTGATCACCAGTTGATCTAACGCTTAGGGAAGCTAGCATAGAAAGAACTCCATCATACATATGAAATACCAAAGGAAGCAATGCAGAATTCTGATGTAGATTGTCCGTGACTAGTAAAATAGTAATTTGTAACTAGCGGTAGTAATATGGGGGAGGTTATGCGGCGTTAAAGCCGTCGCCGGGACGCTTGGCGAGCATTTCCGACGTTTCCCATGACCCACATGTACCTTTAGCTCAAGAAAGAAAATTACACCGCCCTCAAAGACTAAAATCCCTACACCTTAGTCCCCAAGACAAACGAGGCCCCTCTTTCTCTGTCACACTCTCTCCTTGCAAAAGTCTTGGTTGTCGTGTGTCCTCAATGGATCTTGTCGATGGTGCAGAATCAGATGAGCAGAGGGATGCCCTCGTGTGCGTGGTTCAGAGCTCAAGGTGGCGTCGAGCTCTTCAATGGCGAGGCGTGACACCGTTGTCAAGCGCTCGTGGTAGAGAATGACAAAGATTAAGTCATGAGAGAGAGAGAGAGAGAGAGAGAGAGAGAGAGAGAGAGAGAGAGAGAGAGAGAGAGATAGGCGTGAGATCAAGCTGAGATGGCGGCGGCTTCGGTTTGGAGTGGGCAAAGCGGCGGCGGCGGCGGCTTCGCGGAGGCAGCCGCTGTGGTGTAGACGTGTTGATGGGTGCCAAAGTGGTGAGGGAGAGAGAAGGAAGCGTGGTTGGGTAAGAAAGAAATGCTACTTTTTTTTACACTAGCGCGGCTCGATAGCAGCGTAATCTCTCCCCAGTAAAATTGAAGCCACGGGCCAATCGTTGAGCCAGTAATATCTTAGTAACTTATCGATAAACATTTGGATTTACCAATTTCCAATTAATCAGTAACTTTATCAAACTTTCATTTCATTTTCACCATTGACTAACAAAATTTACCAGTATTATTCATTTGAAGCTGCACAAAGTAACTCACAACCACATTTGCCAATTTGCAGTTTGGTTTGTACGACCATTGAAATTTACCGGTGAATATTGGAACCGACCAATATTGATTACATCAAGCTGCTGTATACGTTTGAGGGAGTTTTACCAACATGTAGTTACTAACAATTGAGTCTACTAACGAGTATCGAATTTACCCTCGTATCATTGATATTAAGCTACTTACTGTAATATATTCGAAAAAAGTTACCCAACACTCTGATTTGCCAATTTGTACTTGACTAGCAATTGACATTCTTTCACCTTCCAGAACTTTAGTTGCATGTTGCTTGATCTGATTTTGCAACTTACCAACTCAAACATTAGCTTAACAATCAACCATTGTTTAGTAAATTTTACAACCCGCCGAATATCAGTTTTCGGCCGCTGCGAGTGCGCTCTTATCCTCCACAAGAGGCGCGCGGAATCGCCCCCAGCCCCGAGCGATACAACAGCATCCTTTACACCAGCAGCATTCCCTCGCTTGTCGCTGGTTTTTATTTTCGAGCGAACAATTTTGAGAAAAATTGGCAAGGGGTTTTAGCATTTCTGAAAGGTTCCGGGGTTACGATGAACTTTTTTCTTCCGAAATCGCCAACCACAATTTTTTTTTTCAGATTCCGGCCCTGCCCTGGCCTGGCCGCTGCTCATCTCCTCCAAGGTTGTAGATCCGGGTCGCCGGTGAAGCTCCGCCCGAGGTCGTGCGAGGCCGGTTGATGATGGCGGAGAATCAAATTCCTAATCAAAAGACTATATCAAGAATTACTAACCAAACGCTATTTGCTTTGAGCAAATACATTTTAAGCCAATCAACTATGGGGAAAGACGAAAGAAAATGAAACCGAGTGGTTAACGACTTGATTTCGATACGATACATTTCTTGTTAAATCACGGATCTCCTGTTCAAAATAACCTTAGGCCACCATTGCCAGCAATGCATGTGAACGGAATAATTAATGTCCCAAGGTGGCCTTTAATGGAATCGGAAAATTTAGACATTATGTACCTACTTATCTTTCTATCCTATAAAGCAAGTTGTCGAATTTGGCGTCGTACGCGTATTTACGAAAATGTCCATGTTTTTCCTATCATTCATTATTTTGTTCGAATCCTTTATTAATGTAAATCAAACTATCATCACCCGTAGAAACGATCGAAATAGTTAGAAAAAGGGAAAAATGACACTATAAGTGTCATAACATTCGTACGATACTCACTTTAGTACCAAAACTTTTTGCCAGATCATTTAAGTACCAAATCAGAGAAAAAACGATCATCTATGTGTTTTTTGTGGTTTTTATGAAAAAAAAATATCCGACATGGAAGACGAGTGACCTTTCTATACCTAAACGACGTCGCACCCCTCAAATGGAATAACTCTGTCATTAAGACAAATCCCTCTCTCTATAGACTTGGAATCTCCCTCTCTGTGTTGATTGAGAATCTCTCTCTTGTCGTTGTTTGCACTCTCGCTCGCTTGCTCGCGCGCTGTCTCTCTCTCTCTCTCACTAGTGACTCAATCAATCGACGGCATCCTCTCTTACTCACTCACTCAATCGGCGCAAGGAAAAAAAATTAAGGCTCGGTGCTTGAAGGAAAAAAAAAATTAGGGCATGATGTTAGAGGAAGGAATGACACAACAGGGAAAAGGTGAGTGATTTGGTGGTAATACTCTACTTTCTTCTTGGCTTTGTTGGCACGAACTTGAGCCGCTTGTGGTTACTCTCTTCTCCATCGCTAGATTCAGCTCTTAATTTTGCCCTTAAATCATCGGTCTGAATTAGGGTTTGGAGTAAAGGGAGAAATTGAACGATCTATCCTCGAATTCCCATTAAATCTAGGGCTTTTCATGCGCAGCGGCATGGTTTTAGGGCTTTTTCCGTTGAATTTTGGCTAGATTTCTGGCAACTTCGTCCGTCGGAAAAAATGGTAAAACATTACAACGTCGCATTTTCGGTATCCCAAATCGAAGTTGACAGTGGTACTAAAGTGATTCGCCGATAATTTCCGGCATAAATTGGGTGAAAGTTATGGCACCCGCAATATCTTTTGCCTAAAAAAAAATACAAACCACTTGTCCACTAATTCAAAAAATATATAACTCAATCGCATATTAACTATTTAAATTTCACAATTTTAATGGTTACTGGGCTCCTCCGGTGAACAAACCAACCTTAAGCTTTCCGACAGTCTCTCTCTCTCTCTCTCTATCTCTTCCCTTAATTCGCGTCGATGTCGTCGTCGTCGTCCCGATCGCGATTTTCCCGAAACCCTAGTTCTTGAACTGCTCGGATTTCGATTGGTGATATGGAGGTGTAGCGAAGCGACGGAGCGAGCGCAATCCGAAGATGGAGTCCCATTACGCCCACCACAACAGCATCTTCGACCGGCGCCCCTTCCTCAAGGCCAAGACCCCCGCCGTCAAGTGGGTCAAGCAATGGTATACTCGCTCTCCTTCTCTCGCTCTGTCATCGTTTGATGATTTGGGTGCTCTCTTTTTCAATCGATCTGCGGTTTTTGAGGCCCAATTTGTGATTTTTTTTGGTCGCTTGGATTGTGCTGCCTGGAAGGAGGATTTGGGATTTGTGCTGTTCTACGTACTCGTCGTAGGAATTTGGCGGTAAATCTCGTGCGGTATTGTCGAATTATCGATTTCGTTATATAGGCCGTGTAGTGAGCATGAATCTCGAGTTCCTGGGTCAATCTGAGTGAGGTGGCAGGTGAAAAAATTTCGGATTTTAGTTGTTGCTTCCGTGACTTGGGAATGATTGTTCGGGCCGGGGAAAGTTGTCTAGCAATTTGGTGAGAGAGAGTTGGAAAGAGCTCTCTTTTGCAACGTTTAATGTCTGAGGACTATATTGCTCGTGTTATGTAGATTATGCATATGGTTATTTCAGTTATCGAATATTCTTAATGATTGAGTTTGGATCATTGCTCTGCATTTTGTAAACTCTTGATGTAAGTTTTGTTTTCATGTATGGGTCTGTCGACTTGCCACTTTTGGCGGAATGGAGTTTTTTTAAAGTCCCGCAGGGATTTTCATGCCAACGGACGAAAGTGCTTTTGTACTTCTATGTAGTCCAGGCGTTCATCATCGGATTGAATCTTTTTTATGCTATATGTTTCAATCCTCGCAGATGTGTATGAAAATATTAACCTATTGGCATTGAGAGTCATAGCATTAGAAGTGTCTAATTGGATTCTTATTAAGCTTGGCTTCTCGAGTTTGCTTGTTTTACGAGGGATTCCTTTTACAAATTTCTAACTGTTAATCACGTGGTTGGCGGTGGGTGGATTGAGTTTAGTACCACAAGTTTTTTTGACAAAAATTGAAGGCCTTTTCTTTTTGTGCCCTTTTATTGTATGTTGATGGTTCTGAATGCTGCATTTTACCACCTTATTGTGTGAATTGAGCTTTATATATGACGTAGTGCATTTCTTCTTAGGGTGCCACAAGATGTTGTAGCGACTGGCGGGAAGTGCTATCTCTTGAAATGGGTTTCAGGTGACTTGCACTGCATTTGAAACTTTTAATGTCTGAATTTTTTTTTATTAACCCGTTATAATTTGGAATGGCAGTGGGATTGGCTTTCTTAATAGTTTTAAGGCATTCAATAAGCCATATTAAATTTCCTGACCTGTTGAAAGTAATTTTTTTTTTATGTTATAGAAATTTGAGGTGATTTTAAATGTTAATATTTATATGTTTCTAGAAATTGTGGGTGTTGAGTGTACGAAAGAAGTGTCATGTTTAATGTGGAAAGCCAAAAGCCGAATTAAAACTCCTTTGTCAAAAGGTAGGCAGAAACATGGGATGTTTGGGGAAATCACTAATTCAGATGAGGCGTAAAAGGACCAAGCTGGCTTCAAGTAACTGGAAGAATAGGTGTACGTGAATATTCAATTTTCTTCACTGAGGATTCTTTGCAGGGTACATGTTGGTTCCACGAGATTTGCTAATTGCATTTAAATGTTAATGTAGTTGAAAATTTTCTCCAATATCATAGTAACCAGTAGTTAAGTCCGGTTTGTTTACTCCTATAAGCTGGCTTAGTTTCATGGAGGCTGTCGTGATGGTAACTGTGGAGTTACCTTGTAGAGTTCTTGAATGAGAATATGCCTTTTTTTTTCTTTGTGTGGTTTACTGGAAGATGGGGAAAGAAACTCATGAATTTTCAATTGAGCATTACTAGACGAATCTCTTTGCTGATAAGCCATCCATGGCAATTGGATCTGGAAGCAGGTGGTTTATTTGCAACTAAAGCTTGTCTGTTTTTTGGATAGCTACTTTAGGGAAGTTCTTGGAAATGGGGCCATTATTAAATCAATGGGAAGTTTTTGGAGCTCTAGTTTTATGCTCGAATTTCATTAGACAATTTGAAGTTCATCAAAACTCTGCATTGATTATATACTCTCTAATTAGAGTGTTCCTCTCCTTTCTCTTTTTCACTTGTGTTTCCTTCTTTATTTCTCTTTTGTGTAGCTTAAGTATACCTCCTTATTCTGAAATCGTTTCTTTTTTTTTGCATTACCATTACTTACAAAAAAAGAACGAAAAGAACTTTTAAGCATGGGCTCAAGTTTCTTTATGTCTCACATGTAGAGAGCACGTTGAAGGCCTTGAATGAGAAGGAAAAGGAGCCAAAGGAGCCAGAACCAGAGCCAGAGCCAACTACTGAAGTACTTTTCCTCTGCAGCTATGAAGGATGTGGAAAAACCTTTATTGATGCTGGTGCTTTGAGAAAGCATTCTCACATCCATGGAGAAAGACAGTATGTGTGTCACTATGAGGGATGCGGAAAGGTAGCATGCCTTGTGTTTTGTGCTTGATCATCTTATATCATCTCAATGTTGTTATTTTTTTCCTCTATTTAGCTAATGTCTACCTGTTATCTTAGATTTTATTGTCTTTTCAGGGACAGTCAATAATATTGTGTGATATTTTAACCATATGGTGGTGACTGCAGAATGGCTTGGATAATATTTTAAGCAATTACGATGTGACTTCTCTCATAGTTTTTGTTTCAATTGCCAGCATGCATTTTACTAATTTTAATGGCTCTCAACTTTAGTTTATACACGGCCTTACGGAGATTACTTAAAAAATAAAAAAAAACCTGGGGCTTGCCCTGTCTGCTGTTTATTTAATTTTTATGAACAACTTTAAGCTTACTTGTTGATATTGCCACATAGGTGCATTGGAAGATCAATCCGCAGTCATAGTTCTGGTTGGCTTGGCGGTAAATAGGTTTAAATTACGTGTTTGAAATCAAATGTCATCTATGGATCCAAATGCCTGATATTCGGGGTTTATGACTAATGTGTAAGATTGATGCATGTGATTTTGTCTGAGTGCCGAGGGGCCTTCAGTCAATTGTCAATTGATCAGTTTTGCCATTTTACTAACTCTTAGGTCGTGTCTGATGGACCTTGCCAGGGATGTCCAGCTGTCCACTAGCTCTCTCTGTCTCTGTCTCTGTCTCTCTCTATCTCTCTGTCTCTCTGTCTCTCTCTCTCTCTCTCTCTCACGTGCGCGCACATGCACAAAAACGGCACCCTTTCGTTGGTTGCTGACCAGAGCAAAGATCAGCCACTGGTCAGCGACCACCAATGCTAACTGTGACTGGTAGCGGACAAGAGATGGGTTAGCAACTAGTTTCCAGCATCTGGTTTTTTGGGTTGGTCTCCCTTCACTTAATAATTTTTGTTTTTTGAGTTAAATTTCAGTTCACGTGCAGCTTTTCTGTCTTATTCCCTGTTTGTCCATTCCCTTTGCGGTTCTTTGGGGTTAAAGTATCCAACATCACTTGTTCCTGGGTTTGTTTGGCCTTATATTGATGTTTTGTCTCTTTACCCAGTAATTTAAGTTTATGGATTGGACCTTCTACCTGAACTTACAAAATATGAAAATCGTTTCTCTGCCAGCCTTGCAGGCATATCCTTATCAATTGCTAATGAACTCTCAAAGTTTTAGACGGAGTGTTTGTTGGTAGTTGTTTGTGTTTTGTTTTGTGGTCAAAAGTTATTTTCCTTTTTTGTCTCCTTAGGTATGCACTGCATGCTGATTGTTCCTTTGCTTGTATTGCAGAAATTTTTGGATAGTTCGAAATTAAAAAGGCACTTTCTTATTCACACTGGGGAAAGAGATTTTGTATGTCCTTATGAAGGCTGTGGTAAGGTGGTCAATCAATCTGCCCCCCCTGAATCTAATTTCTAGGCTTTGCTGGGTTTGTTTATCTTTATTCACTTGTTGGCATTTATTTTTTGTATGAGATGGTGTCTCAATTTTCTATAGTGGTGTAGCCAGAATTGTAGTTCCCAACTAGGTCCTGACTAGAATTCTATAGGGCTAAGACTGAGTAAGAGATTTTTACTCCTCTGAGATGGTTTAATCCTCTTTCCATTACTTGTTGAGAATCATCTGACCCAAAAATATAGAAGTTGACAATCATATTGAGGTTGGTTTGTTATTATATCAAGATGCACGAATTATTTTAAGCAATTTTTCGCTCTTGTACTTTGACACGTTTTCTAATCAAGTCCCTGAATATTTAATTTGTTAAGTTAAAATCTACCATCACAAAATTTCTAATCAAGTCTCCTGACACTGAATCCAATCTAATTCAACTAACATGTTCATTTAATGATGACAGTGTGTATACATGTGTGGAAAAATTTGACCAATGTAAACAATGTCAGGGTATGATGTGGATAAAGTTTAGCCCATGTGGACAACTGCGTGGATATCCACATTGGTAAGATTTTGTCCACGTCACACTACAAAGTCGTTTGATGGCCACGTCAGTTGGATTTGGCCAAATGTGCTGTCAGAGGAATTTCATTAGATAATTTATGAAAGTAGAAGCGGAAGAACTAGATTAAACGGATTAAAAGTGCAGGGAATTGATTAGAGAAAGCATGAAGTTACAAGGATGAAAAGTAGAATTTTTTTAATTTTAAATACTCTATTTAGTATAGTAAGTGCTGATATATTTTGTAGTCCACTTTCATAACTTATTCACTGCGACTCTAATTCCTTTCTTGCTTTCCTTTCTACATCATAAGTTTGACTGATCTGATTGTGAGGATTTAGATCATAATCGGTTACAGATAATAATTTAGTACTTAAAACCAAAAGACATTTAACACCTAAGAATTTTGTGAGTAATCGGCATAAGAAAGGCTAATTTTTCATGCAGGATATTGACCTGTTGACATGAATAATTAGCACACTGGTGGATGTGATAAACAATATGCTGTAATTCAATCTACCTATTCTGGACATGCCACATATGCTTGTAGTTATTATTTGTTTGGACCACTTGTTATTTGATAGTTCACTTGTTATTTCAGGCATTTTCCCTGGATTTCAACCTGAGGTCCCACATGAAAACACACTCTCAAGAGAACTATCATATTTGCCCATACTCGGATTGTGGAAAGAGATATGCTCACGAGTACAAGCTTAAGAACCACATTGCATCGCAGCATGAAAAGGTTGGTCTTGCTTTCTGAATATTGTGTTACTACTGAAATGAAGGATGCTTGGGGAGCCAGGCATCTGAGCAGTTTGAGATTGGGTTCCACATTATGATTTTCAGTTTCTACGCCATGTGTAATACATGATTATTGCCTGAGTCGCTAAGTTGATTAGTTAAGCACGATTCAAAAGGAAATTAACTTGCAAAGTGGGAGTTCTTCATTTTTCTGATAAATATTGGTCAACTTGGAAACATTGGGAAATCTAGGTTTTGATTACATGCTAGGGGCTATTTTAGTTCTGACTGTCATTGATTTAATTGACTTTGAATCTGTGACTTTGACTTTCTACCTAATTCCACAGAATGCGGCAGTTGAGGTGACGAAGTACACACCACCTCCAGAGAAGATCACTACTAAGGCTTCTAAGCCTTCCAGCGGAGCTTATGGGTCGGCATCATCTGACCGCCCTTATGCTTGTCCGTATGAAACGTGTGACAAGGCTTATATTCATGAGTACAAGCTCAAACTTCACTTGAGAAGAGAGCATCCCGAGTACATGGCTGATGAGAATGCTGAGAATGCCACACGCAATGTAGATCATGAAATGGACGAAGCTAGTGATCAAGATAACTACAGCAGAAAGCGCGCCAACGGGAAAAGCCAGAAACAAAGCAGACAGAAACCGAACTTGAAGACGCCCCCAGCAAAGTCCGCTAAGAGGAAGGGTGCCGCCAGCCCTACTCCCGTAGCTTTGAATGTGGTGAAGAAACCGTGGCCAGTTAAAGAAGATATATACGAGGAAGAAGATAGTGAAGAGACGGAAGAGGACCAAGAGAATGTGGAGGGATGGAGATATGCAGAAAACAACGAGGACGACGATGAAGAGACCGAGTATGAAGACTAGCGAGCTATCTGCAGCAACATATGTATTTAAGAGGAAGGATTGGGTTGATGAAGGGACAAGGATTTCAAGATTAGACCTGGAGGATGCTGCCATTAGCTCCACTGTGAAGCTTGATTGCTCTTTCTCTCCATTACTCGCGGTTCCTTAATGAGCCGCATTCATGTGTCAAAACAAATCTGCAGCAGCATTGTTGTTGGAATTTTTCGACTTAAATGGATAGTTATAGATCCCTAATCATGAAACCCATCTAATGGCCAAACTGAACTTATGTCCATCAGCAAAAATCGTTTTTGTAGACGGTCCAAGGGGTAGTTCTAAATTAAATGAAAGCAAGGGTGGATTTCGTATTGAGAGTATAGGGAATAAAGGTGCTATCATTTCAATAAAAGAATGGGTATTTGCTCTACTCTGAAATTTGTTCGACACCGGTTCTTAAATTTGAAACTAGATACGGCCCTCTAAGTTCTGAATCAAATGAAAGCTAGGGTTATGGTACTCTTCCAAGAACAATAAGTTGAAAGACAATACAAGGGCATGCTATTATCTATAGTAAGCATTTCATGGACAAAATTAGGTATATGTATTCATTGCCAAATTCGTGCTCATTAACCAATTTTCTCAATCTTCTTCTGGAAACATAAGGAAAACTCCCATTATAATGGACTTAGAATCAAGATCTCCATGTCCATGCAACGCATATGTTTTTCAAAATTTTAGTAAGCCAAAAATATTTGCACGGTGAATTGTCCTTTAAGCACAATATGTTGCTTAAACTAAATTGATCTCTAATTAGAAGAATTTTACATAAATATAGCTAAAACGTATCACTTTGAAATATAATCTACTTTAGGGACGAAGCGGAGCGCGCGAGCACATAAATAGTTGGAATAAGTTTAAGGATTTCCGACTTAGATGGGTCACTTGCCCGGCTTAGCCCTATCCAATCCAACCCAAACTATGTAACACGATTCAAAACCTCCGAGAAGACTTGAACAGGGGAGATGCCATTGGACTAGTATGTTCTCGGCTTGTTTCGTCTCTAAGTACTCGGTTGTAAGATGCCTTGCATAAGATAATGCTGCAAAGCTGTGGCTTTCAAAAGCGCAAGAATTGAAAAAAAAAAATAGTTTACCCATTCTCTCTTATGCACTCTACGTTTGGTCATTTTAAAATATTTTTTTTAGGTAGTAGTAACTTTTTAATTTTTTTAATTTTTGGATGATCAATATTTTATCAATTCATAAAACAATTCACCCACTCTGTGACATAGACTTCTTTTGGTCATTTTAAATATTTTTTTATTTAACAATGGTGAATTTTTTATCGTCCAGAAGAAGATTGAGAAAATTGGTTAATGCGCATGAATTTGGCAATGAATAAATCAAGGTCGAGGTCAAGCAATGCAACGCAACGGCAAGTGGCACGCATGACTTGCGAGCCCCCTCTTGTTCACTTACTTCTGGGGGTCCACCTCGTCCTTCACGCGTTTTGAGGTCGGCTTTTTTCGCCTCTCTTCCCTAAAGGTATGGTAGTTTCTCCGATTTTTGGATTACTTCGTGTTGAGCATAACTTGTAAAAGCTTGATTTTGATTCCGTTGCCTACTGTTGTTGTTCTTAATGAAGTTCTTGAGCGAGACGGATTGAGAGTGTGTTGTTATCAGATTCAGACGTATTGTTGCTGATTCGCTTTGCTCAAATCGGTTCTATATTTTCAATTGCTTATGTGCTTTGCTTGGTATTTCCTGTATTGGTAAGAAAGGATGACCCCAAAACTAACGCAAATTCTGGGGAAGTTCGTCTTTTTCAGTGGGCTTTTGGTGCATGAGTAGTTGTGGAAGATAGAGAACCGTGCTCCACATTAAATTTCACCTCATGTAGAGTGAAACATATGCTGCAAGCTCCACATTAAATTTCACCGCATGAGGTACCCTCTTGCATATAGAACTGAATATGGTGTTATGAGGTGACCAAATATATACAGGCCTGTGGAACCTTGGAGAAATATTAACTTTTTCTTGTACCAGAGATATATGAACTTGATGAACTCGAAATGATACATGCTTGAGATTGAGACATGAAAATTTGCTTCAGGGTCGTGTATTTTGTAATACGGAATACATGTTCATTATGTATTCCAGTCGTTAGTCTTGTTATGAAATGACTTTCTTCTCATCAAATTCCCCTAGCAGTGGAAGATTTTTGCAGGGGCTTTCTAGTAAGATAGCCACGGTAATGTTTGTAGGGGTTTTCGTGTAAGAATAAAGAAAATGACTCCCTAGTTTCGTTTGCAAATGAATTTTACCTTCCTGAATGAATCAAATTACACGGCCACAACCCAATCGTCCCAAAAAAATCCACACTTGGTGGTTAAATAGTGACAGAGCAACGTACAATAATGTCTTGCAACGTTTTAGAGACAGAGCGAGCACCCGCACATTACGTTCCTTCCCTAGCTATTACAAGAAGCACAAGTTGACTATTAGGAAGCAGACTAAACTCTCTTCTAATCAAATTTGTACGAGATGAGATATCATAATAGTTGTGTGCAAGCTACGATCGAATTTGTAGGATGTGATTTTTTATTTCTATAAATGTTAATATGTATCTTTTACATTGCTCTCGACGCGAAAATATAAAAGTTACGATCATTGTTTCTTTTTTTCAATTTTTAAAATTTAAAAATTAAAAACCTTAATTTGGTCACACCAAAGAACTTTGCAAATATATGTTTACCAAACAGTCAAGTATTTTCCCAATGCCCTTTTTAGTTATATAGTTTACCAAACAATCTAATATTTTTCTAAAATTTTTTAGGCTAAAGACCTTTGCATATGGCAAAAGGCTTTTTCCAAATGCTGAACCAAAGAGGACTTGATCTGCTCCCAAAGTGTCTGAACTAAAGTGAGACAGTCAGACTCCACAGTTAACACACGTGTGCCCTTTTCCTTCTCCCCACTCGGAGGCGAACTTCAAACCCTCAATTACTGCTAGGGTTTCAGCATGCAGTGCTGATCGCGCCTTCACCTCTCGAGCGAACCCACCCATCAGCACTCCGGATGCGTCTCTGCACACTCCGGCGATCGCTCCGGTAGAAGTTCCGGCAACGAAAGCACCATCAACGCCGATTTTTAAGCAAACCCAAAGCCGGCGGAATCCATTTGAAGGTTGAGTTTTGATTTTCCGGCTGAGCGAACCTTCTGATTCGAGCACCAAGATTTAAAATTTTTCATGCTTTTCAAGTGTTTCGGACACAACTCCTTGTGGGTCTGGCATTTTAGCTCGGAAAATGGCTGCGTTCCTCTCTTTTCCAAATGAACCAGAGCACTTCAGCCACTACCTCAAGGTTGGGTGTATCAGGTAAGTCACTCTTGTAGTTTAGAAGCCATCGATCTATGCTGGTGAGACCTTCTCTCTTTATCCGCATGCGTAGATTTTGGTCTGACCGTACTTCAGTTGTCCAGGGACAGAGTAGGAACAGGTGTTCTGCTGTTTCTGGGCTTGTTCTGCACAAAGGGCACATCGGGTCAGGTAAAGCTCTTCGTCTGAATGAATTTTCCTTCGTAGGGAGTGCATTTTGGCATAGATTCCACATGAAAATTCTGATTTTGGGTAGGGACTGCAAATTCCGCACTTTTGCACCGCAAAGTTCTAGGCTTTTGGTAAGAGGACGATGCTTGTTTATGAGCAGATTATACCCACTTTTGACTGAATAGGTTCCAGACTTTGCTGCTGTCCATACTATTCTGTCTTCCTCTCCTGTGGATGGGATGGGGATCGCCAGTATTTCATTAGCGATTCTATCTTCAAACATGTTTTGGATTTTTTCTTCCTTCCATGAGTAGTTGTGTTTGTCTATCAACTCGGTAACAAGCTGAGGATCCTCTCGATTAGTAGGTCCTGTAATTATGCCCTGCTTCAACCATTTATCTTCCCGGATTCTAATTGATTCTCCATTGCCTACTGACCATTGAACTGAGACTGATATTACATCCCTTCCAATTAGCTGCCTCATTCTTTTATGCTGAAGCTAGCCTCATGCTATCAACATTCACCATCCTTAGATATGACTTTTTGATTAATACCATGTTTCTAAGTCATTGTATTAACTCTCTTAATAAACAACCTTTTCCTATTTCCCCTGCTTTCTTGCTTCTTCCTTTTTTTTTCACTATTCCCTTTGGTATCAAGGACTGTGGTGGAGCTATACTGCTTTGGAGTAGTTCTTGAACTTTTGCTGATCTACTTTTTAAGTTTAGATTAATTAGCTGCCCTTTTTGTGTGTTTAGGCATGGAGGAACAGTTCATTCTCAGGGTTCCGCCTTCTGTACCTTGAACATATGGCTCCTAAATTTTAGCTGCCTCTTTCTTCTATCCTTAATCTTGCCTAATGCTGCAACGTTCACCTTCCAAAATATGACTCTTTGGTTAATACCGTGTAATCAGAGAAGTTGTAGTTCTTTCAACATTTGCTTATCTACTTGGACTAATTTACTGGCCTTTTTGTGTGTTTAGGCATGGAGGAACAGTTCATTCTCAGGGTTCCACCTTCTGTTGCTGAGCGAATAGAACTACTATTGAATGAAGATGCATCTACTTCTGATGACAAGGTGTTAGATTTATCTTTCTCTGGTATGAAACCTGTATCATCCGTGTCTATTAAAAAAACTACAAGCATATATGAAAAATGAAGCCCCCTAGAATAGACAAGATGTGTAGTTGTATCTCTTATCGTTAACTATCTGGCAAGGCTCTCGATTAGGATTATAAGCTTATCTAGGAATAACTCTTCTTGAAAGGAAGGCGTATTCTATCTGTGGATTCTGACATTCCAAATGGAGATTCTTTCCTTTCTTGGATGTTTGGCTGGATCCGGATGGACGTCTCATTATATTGACATAATTGGAATACTAGTGGTTATACTTTTTCCAGTTAGGCGTAGTTTGTTCTATTCAGTCATTATCATCGTGTCATATTGCATAAGGTTTTACATCCTATGAAGGCTTTGCATATTTTGGTTGCAAGTTTATCTTTTAATTCCTTCTCTTGGCAGAGGATGGGAGGACTGGAACTTTTGTCGTTGGAAATGACCATTTCACTGCCTCTCTGATGGATCTACCAACTGTTGTGGAGTCTTACAAGACCTATGATGATACTAATCTGATTAAAACTGCAGACATTGGTCAGGTGAAGGGCTCTTTTTAAGAGTTTCCGCACTGTTACTTCATTTGTGAACCTTTTTCTTAACGGTAACTCATGTACAGATGATAATGGTCAGAGAACCAGGAGATCCTTCCCCAGATGTGGTGGAGTACAGACATGGTCTGACTCCTCCTATGAGGGATGCACGCAAGAGAAGATTCCGTAGAGAACCTGACCTAAATGTAATTACCACCTCAGTCTTCTTTGAGCATGTATCTATTTTTCCTTCTACTTGGGGGAGTGGAGGGAAGGGGAACTTGATTAGGAATGGTAGGTTAGATATAGGGTCTGCTATCTAGTGGTGAATTGCATTGTAAAACATAAAGTATCTGCTAAAGCTGAGGACATAACATTAGTAGAATTGACTGCATCACTGAAGTGGAAGCGTTGCCTGACATGAGACATACTAATAAATCTAAGTTAAAGTAACTGGTTCATGTGTGTTGAAGGCAATATCAGGTACGTATAGGTTGTAGATTCTAGATGTATAATCACCTCATCTTCTTTACTTGCTACAGCCTGAGCTTGTGCAGCGTGTTGAAAAGGATCTGTTGAACATCATGGCTGGTGGGACAGCAGAAAATGCTGATATCCTTTGATGCTAATTATCTATTTCTTGATGTTATAAAAAAACTCATATCTATTCCTTGATTATAGTAGTAGGCATATCAGCATCTGCTTGCTAATTAACTCATATCTGTTGCTTAGGTCCGTTAATATTGGTTTTTGGAGTGCCTTGTGTGCTTCAAGCAAGGCTTCATCACGTTGATTGAGGCATCTAAGTTGTTGAATCGACAATCCCTAAAATAAGGTCAAGGGATGAATTGGTAATGCATATTAAGTGCAGATATTTTATCTCTCTTTTAGGTTATGGGACAATTAGCATGTGAACCGTCTTTATTGCACAGATAGCAACTGCCATCTTGGATTCTTCTTCTTTGTTTTTTTGGGGTGGTATCTGCGGATGTGCATCTAGCTTCTATCAGCTTGGTTGAGGCATCTACGTTGTCCAATTGATGATCACAGTAGTAAGGTCAACAAATGAATTTATGCATATTAAGTAGAGAAACTACGGTTCTCTTTTGGCCTCTTACGGCACATTTAGCATGTGAACCCACTTTATTTGGCAGATGGCACCTGCCATTGTTTGATTTTTCCTTGACATGGTGCCATACATGTGGACATGGCTGAGCAAGAGGAAGACGGAGATGAAAATTCCCGCAAACCAGGCAGGAAGACTGCTCCTAAGCCCACTGCAAAACCCAAAGTGCCAGAGGCTGAGACTAATGCGGCAGAACCTGAAAGAAGTGATTCTGATGAATCTGACGAATCGGGCTAATTTAAATATTTCTGTTTTCTCTTGCTAGATAGTGAGGTCTCAACTAGTTCTGAGAGAGGTGGGACTGTTCGCAGCGACATATATAGTTACCGCAGAATGGTGGCTGTCCCCTTGTTCATTGCTATTACATCAAACTAGTTATACAAATGTTGGGGGATGGGCATCTCGTGGTAATTATGGCATGTTAGGCTCCAAGTCTGTTCGCCTATGGTGTTACGTAGAAATGTAATTATCTTGAATATATTGACTATTTCTTTATATTTCGATTGCCTGTAATGGATAAAAGAAACATCTTGTTCTTTCTTTACTAAGTTGTTCGTCGACGGAGTTTTTTGGCGTTCCTTCCTTCTCTTCTCTCTTCTCTCTTCCTTTCTTTCTTCCTTCTTCGGCGGGGGTTCCAGATGAAGAATTCGCTCAGGAAGTTGCGAGGGTTCGGAATCCACAACCACAAGCACGTCGGTGCCAGGGACAGGCGGGATCTTTGATGCCTTTCTCAATTGGACGAGCTCGCTCAGGCTTCTCAGGTACCCCGCCTCTCCCTCTCTCTCTGTGTGCGTGCACTCATGAGTAGCTTTTGGCGGCCGCAAGAATCTGGAATGAAGTAGAGGGCAAAACATGTGGCGGTGCGGTTCGGTTTAGGTTGGCGAGCATGTTGTTGCGGTCTCGCGGCGCAGCGTTTGCGATGAATGTTGTTCTATTCGGAGCCGGCTGATTTCGCCATTGCTTGTGAAGACGGCCGTAATTGGGATGCTTGGTTTTGCTTGCATCGAGCCTATTTGTTTTGAGTATCTGGTGTTTCGTCTCAAATTTCTTGGTTCGGTTTGGCTCTGTCTCTCTGTCTCTGTCTTTGTCTCTGTCTGTCTCTCTCTCTCACGTGCATGCACATGCACAAAAACGGCACCCTTTCGCTGGTTGCTGACCAGAGCAAAGATCAGCCACTGGTCAGCAACCACCAATGCAAACCGTGACTGGTAGCGGACTAGAGATTGGTTAGCAACTAGTTTCCACATCTGGTTTTTTGCGTTGGTCTCCCTTCACTTAATAATTTTTGTTTTTTGAGTTAAATTTCAGTTCACGTGCAGCTGTTCTGTCTTATTCCCTGTTTGTCCATTCCCTTTGCGGTTCTTTGGGGTTAAAGTATCCAACATCACTTGTTCCTGGGTTTGTTTGCCCTTATATTGATGTTTTGTCTCTTTACCCTTATATTGATGTTTTGTCTCTTTACCCAGTAATTTAAGTTTATGGATTGGACCTTCTGCTTGAACTTACAAAATATGAAAATCGTTTCTCTGCCAGCCTTGCAGGCATATCCTTATCAATTGCTAATGAACTCTCAAAGTTTTAGACGGAATGTTTGTTGGTAGTTGTTGTGTTTTGTTTTGTGTTCAAAAGTTATTTTCCTTTTTTGTCTCCTTAGGTATGCACTGCATGCTGATTGTTCCTTTGCTTGTATTGCAGAAATTTTTGGATAGTTCGAAATTAAAAAGGCACTTTCTTATTCACACTGGGGAAAGAGATTTTGTATGTCCTTATGAAGGCTGTGGTAAGGTGGTCAATCAATCTGCCCCCCCTGAATCTAATTTCTAGGCTTTGCTGGGTTTGTTTATCTTTATTCACTTGTTGGCATTTATTTTTTGTATGAGATGGTGTCTCAATTTTCTATAGTGGTGTAGCCAGAATTGTAGTTCCCAACTAGGTCCTGACTAGAATTCTATAGGGCTAAGACTGAGTAAGAGATTTTTACTCCTCTGAGATAGTTTAATCCTCTTTCCATTACTTGTTGAGAATCATCTGACCCAAAAACATAGAAGTTAACAATCATATTGAGGTTGGTTTGTTATTATATCAAGATGCACGAATTATTTTAAGCAATTTTTCGCTCTTGTACTTTCACACGTTTTCTAATCCAGTCCCTGAATATTTAATTTGTTAAGTTAAAATCTACCATCACAAAATTTCTAATCAAGTCTCCTGACACTGAATCCAATCTAATTCAACTAACATGTTCTTTTAATGATGACAGTGTGTATACGTGTGTGGAAAAATTTAACCAATGTAAACAATGTCAGGGTATGATGTGGATAAAGTTTAGCCCATGTGGACAACCGCGTGGACATCCACATTGGTAAGATTTTGTCCACGTCACACTACAAAGTCGTCTGATGGCCACGTCAGTTGGATTTGACCGAATGTGGTGTCAGAGGAATTTCATTAGATAATTTATGAAAGTAGAAGCGGAAGGATTAGATTAAACAAATTAAAAGTGCAGGGAATTGATTGGAGAAAGCGTGAAATTACAAGGATGAAAAGTAGAATTGTTTTAATTTTAAATCCTCTATTTAGTATAGTAAGTGCTGATATATTTTGTAGTCCGCTTTCCTAACTTATTCACTACCACTCTAATTCCTTTCTTGCTTTCCTTTCTACATCATAAGTTTCACTGATCTGATTGTGAGTATTAAGATCATAATTGGTTACAGGTAATAATTTAGTACTTAAAACCAAATGACATTTAACACCTGAGAATTTTGTGAGTAAGCGGCATAAGAAAGGCTAATTTTTCATACAGGATATTGACCTGTTGACATGAATAATTAGCACACTGGTGGATGTGATAAACAACATGCTGTAATTCAATCTACGTATTCTGGACATGCCACAGTTATTATTTGTTTGGACCACTTGTTATTTGACAGTTCACTTGTTATTTCAGGCATTTTCCCTGGATTTCAACCTGAGGTCCCACATGAAAACACACTCTCAAGAGAACTATCATATTTGCCCATACTCAGATTGTGGAAAGAGATATGCTCACGAGTACAAGCTTAAGAACCACATTGCATCGCAGCATGAAAAGGATGGTATTGCTTTCTTATTATTGTGTTACTACTGAAATGAAGGATGCTTGGAAAGCCAGGCATCTGAGCAGTTTGAGATTGGGTTCCACATATCCTATTATGATTTTCAGTTTCAAAGCCATGTGTGATACATGATTATTGCCCAAGTCGCTAAGTTGATTAGTTAAGCACGATCCAAAAGGAAATTAACTTGCAAAGTGGGAGTTCTTCATTTTTCTGATAAATATTGGTCAACTTGGAAACATTGGGAAATCTAAGTTTTGATTACTATGCTAGGGGCTACTTTAGTTCTAAGTGTCATTGATTTAATTGACTTTGAATCTGTGACTATGACTTTCTACCTAATTCCACAGAATGCGGCAGTTGAGGTGACGAAGTACACACCACCTCCGGAGAAGATCACTACTAAAGCTTCTAAGCCTTCCAGCTGAGCTTATGGGTCGGCATCATCTGACCGCCCTTATGCTTGTCCATATGAGACGTGTGACAAGGCTTATATTCATGAGTACAAGCTCAAACTTCACTTGAGAAGAGAGCATCCCGAGTACATGGCTGATGAGAATGCTGAGAATGCCACACGCAATGCAGATCATGAAATGGACGAAGCTAGTGATCAAGAAAATTACAGCAGAAAGCGCACCAACGGGAAAAGCCAGAAACAGAGCAGACAGAAACTGAACTTGAAGACCCCCCCAGCAAAGTCCGCTAAGAGGAAGGGTGCCGCCAGCCCTACTCCCGTAGCTTTGAATGTGATGAAGAAACCGTGGCCAGTTAAAGAAGACATATACGAGGAAGAAGATAGTGAAGAGACGGAAGAGGACCAAGAGAATGTGGAGGGATGGAGATATGCAGAAAACAACGAGGAGGACGATGAAGAGACCGAGTATGAAGACTAGCGAGCTTTCTGCAGCAACATATGTATTTAGAGGAAGGATGGGTTTATGAGGAGACGAGGATATCAAGATTAGACCTAGAGGATGCTGCCATTAGCTCCACTGTGAAGCTCGATTGCACTCTCTCTCCATTACTCGCGGTTCCTCAATGAGCCGCATTCATGTGTCATAACAAATCTGCAGCAGCATTGTCGTAGGCATTTTTCGACTTAAATGGATAGTGCATAGAACCCTAATTATGAAACCCAGCTAACGGCCAAACTGAGATTGTGTCCATCAGCAAAAATTGTTTTCGTAGACGGTCAAGGGGATTGTTCTGAATCAAATGAAAGCAAGGGAGGATTTCGTATTGGGAGTACAGCGAATAATGGTGCTATCTTTTAAAAATGCAATGGGTAGTTGCTGTACTCTGAAATTTGTTGGACACCGGTTCAAAACTTTAAAACTAGATACTATCCTCTAAGTTCCGAGTCAAATGAAAGGGAGGGTTATGGTACTCTTCCAAGAACAATTAGTTGAAAAACAATAGGACGACATGCTATTATCTGTAGCAACCATTTCATAGACAAAATTAGCTATATATATTCATGGCCAAATTCATGCTAATTAACTATTTCTCTTAATCTTCTTCTGGTAAAACAAGGGAAAGTCGCATTATAACGAACTTAGAATCAAGATCTCCGTGTCCTGGCAACGTATATGTTTTTCAAAACTTAAGTTAATTAAAGATATTTGAACATCAAATTGTTTTTTAAGCACAATATATCGAGTAAAATAAGTGTTCTAATTAGAAGCATTTTACTCAATTTAGCTGAAACATTCAGTTTGAAATATGGTTTAATGAGCGCACATGTAAGTAATTGGAATAAGTCCTAGGGTTTCTAGCTGAATTTATCCTTTTGACTCGCATGATGAGATGAACCCCCACCTGGCCCAATCCAACCCAGCCCAAGTAACATGATTCAAAACCTCCAAGAGGACTTGTACTGGGTTGATACCACTCGACCAACAAGTTCTCGGCTTGTTTTGTCCAAGTACTAGGGCAATCTTGTAAGGTGTCTTGCCTAAGATAATGTTGCACAATGTTGGCTTTCAAAAGTGCAAGAATTATTTACCCAATCTCTGACACAGACTTCGTTCGGTCATTTTAAAACATTTTTCTTCGGTAGTGGTAATTTTTTAATTATTTTTCTTTTTTATGACCAATGGTCATTCTTTTCTTAATTAATAAAGCAATAGACCATTTCTCTGACATAGACATCTTTTGGTCATTTCAAAACATTTTTCTTCGGCAGCGGTCATTTTTTTAATTATTTTTCTTATTTGATGACCAATGATCATTCTTTTCTTAATTCATAAAACAATAGAACCTTTCTTTGACATGGACATCTTTTGGTCATTTGAAAATATTTTTCTTCGGCAGCGGTCATTTTTTTTAAATTTTTTCCTTTTTGATGACCAATGATCATTCTTTTCTTAATTCACAAAGCAATTGACCCTTTATTTGACAGTGACATCTTTTGGTCATTTCAAAATATTTCTTTTTCGGCAGAGGTCATTTTTTTAATTATTTTTCCTTTTTTGACGACCAATGGTCATTCTTTTCTTAATTCATAAAGCGATAGACCCTTTCTCTAATGTCTTGGCGGCAGTCATTTTTTTAAATTATTTTTCTTTTTTTGACAACCAATGGTCATTTTTTTCTTAATTCATAAAGCAATAGACCCTTTTTCTGATGTCTTGGCGGCAGCCATTTTTTTAATTATTTTTCTTTTTTTGACGATCAATGGTCATCTTTTCTTAATTCATAAAGCAATAGACCCTTTCTCTGACATAGGCAACTTTTGGTCATTTCAAAACATCTTTCTTCGGCAGCAGTCATTTTTTTTTAATTATTTTTCTTTTTTGACGACCAATGGTCATTCTTTTCTTAATTCATAAAGCAATTGACCCTTTAGACATCTTTTGGTCATTTCAAAACATTTTTCTTCGGCAATGGTCATTTTTTAATTATTTTTATTTTTTGATGACCAATGGTCATTTTTTTTATTAATTCATAAAGCAATAGACCCGTTCTATGACATAGACACATTTTGGTCATTTTAAAACATTTTTCTTTGTTGGCTGTCTTTTTAGTTATTTGTCTTTTTTTACTACCAATGGTCATTATTTCATAAAACAATTCACCCATTCTCCGGCATAAATATTATGAAATTGCCAATTTTTGATAGTTTGCTTTTTATATAATATATCTTGGCTTATTTTATAAGCAACCGTTGAGCAAATGGGGTCTATTAAATCACCAAGGTTGGATGGTTTTCAACTTTTCAAGCATTATTTTACAAGAAATTCTGGGATGTGGTCGGAGATGACATAGTCAACTTGGCAGGTGTGGCTCTTCAAACCGGACAAATTCCATCGGATTTGGCACTGACATATGCGGTTCTTTTTGCTCGAAAATCTATAGGCCAACACAGACTAAAAGGTGCTGGCAAACCTAATCGAACTGAGCGCAAGAGGTTTAATTCGGGATGAGGATGGCAGGTTGTTTTACTGGCTTGTCGATGCAGTGAATAGAGAAGCCAGTGATCTTATAGGTTTAATATATGAAGGATGAATAATTAAGAAATACATTGACAATTCCGATTTATTAGTTATTTCTATTCAAATTTATATCACTCTAAAGCAATCAAAAGATGGGGCTAAAGCATTAAAAAATGGAATTGCTTGGGTCATATGAATAAAAATCTGACTTACTCATATAGTTTCACACTCGACAGAGTGGGTATACTTAATCTATCAATTTCCATTTAAACACATTAGTTTTTTTATTGATACTTGAGGATCCGATGGTTAGATAACAATATCATACATATAGGTGAGTCAAAATATCAAAAGATATATAGTCCTAAAAATCTCATTAGATAAGATTAATGATAGAATATTTAAATATTAAATCATGCTTTCATCTAACAGTTTAAACTTTTAGAACAGTTGGTAATGGTTCCTCCCAAATCTTACATGGTATCAGAGCAGGTTCTGAGTTCAAATCTTTTTAGGCTCCTATTTACCTTTCCAATTAAATATGTCCACGTACTAAACAAAAAGAGTAATAAATATATAAATATTAAACCACGCATTTATCTAATCGCCTAAGCTTTTATAACATTATAAGCATCATAAGGGCACTGCATTTTAAGTGTCGAAGGAAAAGCACAATCATTTCTCGCTAATTAGATTGTCCATAATACTGTTGTGAAAAAGTTAATTTCGTTATTATTGAGTGTGTAAACTCAATTTTTCATATTAGAAATTCTTTTGAATGACACAACGTACATTAATTTATAATACTATTGCATATGTATTTTTCATTTTTAGTTAAATTATATGAATTATCGAGAAAATCAAGTAATAATCATTTTCAAGTTCATTTGAAAAACTAAATCATCACTTCAAATTTTTGGAAATTTAGGTGCGACAAAATTTACATACATATTATACCTTCAAAGAATTCTTGTTGAATGGTTGAATGCAGAATGAAACTTTTAATTTTATTTATACTCTGCTTTGCCTAGTTACTCTGGTTTCAAAACTTGGCGTTTTTAATTCTGCATTATTCTAGCAAAAGTTTGAAAACACCTATTCAACCCCCTTTATGTGATATTGTTAGTCAACATCAACTGCAAGAAAGTAGAGCAGATAATTTTGGAATTGTAATTGCTTGTAAATAAGTATTACTAAATAGTAGAAGCCACATATAGCATGGGTAACTGTTTACGTGTAATCGTGGGTTATAAATACCCCAAATATATTATTTGTAAAGGTTCGACCAATCAACCGAAGAATGCATATTTTTCTTCATCCTCATTTTCAATAGAATTTACATTTCAGTGCAATTTACATCGTTGGCAGCAATTATTTCTACTACTTGCATCTTTAAATCTCCTGTCCTTTGCTATCTTGTCCTTAAATCAATAAAGAGCATTTAAATGTCTCATCAGTCTTGTGTTCAGTTTTACGGGAGAAAAGGGAATTTCATCGAGTGAATCGTTGGCATGGGAATCCCCGACTCAACCCAAATTGTCGAGCGCATTGTTTTGGGTGATAAGGTTGAAAACCAGGAAAGAGTTTTTCTCCGTTGCAAAACATTGCCACTGGAATAGATGGAGACTCCAGGAATATTTATTGGACAAAAGTTAGAAGTGTCGACAGAAAGAGTAAGGCTGTGTTCGTTTGAGGAAAAATATTTTTCCGGAAAATATTTTCCGCGTTTTCCGATGTTCGGGGGCGGAAAATGTTTTCCGTGGGAAAACATTTTCCTTCCCCACCCCCAAATCCTTCATTATTTTGAGGAAAATGATTTCCTCTTTTCACAAAGAGGAAATCATTTTCCCCAAAATTGAAGGTAAAATTGTCCATGGGAGGGAAAATATTTTCCGTGGGAGAGGAAGTTGGTCGCCGGTCACCACCGTTGGCCGCACGGTCGCCGGCCGCCCGCCCCCGGCGCCTGCCCGCTCGCCGCCGCCGGTCGCCGGCCGCGGCCGCGCTGGTCGCCGGCCGCGGCCCGCGCGCCGGCCAGGTGAAAAATATTTTCCGAAACTTTTTCATATTGGTCGCGAACACCGGAAAATTATGTTCCGGAAAAACATTTTCCAGGAAAATGACTTTCGGGAAAATATTTTCCAAAAGGAGAATATTTTCCACCAAACGAACGGAGCCTAAGTGTATTGAAGAAAATGTTTGAATGGAGAAATGTCGGCTGGTATCGGTAAAAGTGAATGGCTTTGACATCTAAAATTGCAAGGGAGAAACGGTTGGACTTCTAAGCCATGGAATATCCTAATTCTGAAAGCCATCTAACGGCCAAACTGAGATTGGGAGCAAGTCGTACCAAGAGTTAGGGATTATCATTTCAAAAAGAATATTTGCGACACTCTCAAATTAGGAAAATGACATAAATGGTCTTGAACTTTGGTCGAAAATGCAATGTGGTCCCTAAACTTTTAATTTATTCAATGTGATTCTGAACTTTTGGTAAATGTTCAATTTAGTCCTCGACTATATAAAAATGTCAATGTCGTCCCCGATCTTGAATTAATGGAAAGACAACATTGAACATTTTCATTTAATTCAGGGACTATATTGAATGTGTACTAAAAGTTCAGGGACTACATTGAACAAATTAAAAGTTTAGGAACCACATTGCACATTGGCTAAAGTTCATGGAACACATTGAACAATTAAAAGTTGAGGGACCACATTGTAGGGAAAATTGTCCAAAAAGTCCTAAACCTATTGCAATTTAGTCCTAAACCTTTTAAGTTTGCCAATTTAGTCCTAAACATTTTCACTTCTTGC